GCGGAGGAGGCAGAGGGATGGAGTTCCAGAGAGTAGGAGAGATATTTTCTATTTTCCATCAAAAATGGCAAAATGTGTTGCGTATAAATATAGGTGTTTTAAATGTTACTTTTGAGATTGCTTCATATGATCACTGGTTTCAACATGTCACTGTATTTTATAAAGCACAGGGTGTGGGATTACAATATGTTGCATTGCAGAAAAGTTGACTGAAGTCTTGTACTCTTGACTAATTCTATGTAGAATTTCTTTGCGCATTTGTTTCTCAGTTTATCTCCACATCTTGTAAAGATAAAGGATATGTGGACACCCACTTTGTTATCTATATAGTACCTATGTAATGTGAGGAGGAAGAGACAAGCGGATTGTATGATTTACTTCATTTCCTTTGTCAGAATCTATTTTTCATTTTAAAACTATAATTCAACCTATGACTTTCTAACATAGCTGGAGAGTGCTAAACGCATCCCACTTATTACTCTCAATTTCCTTTTTGTTCCCTTCCTTCACTTTGTCTGTCTTCATAACTTCATTATCCTCATTGAACAGAAAATGTATTTGACAAACAAGACCAGGTAAACACAAGATTTCTGGTGGAGCTCAAACAGATAAACAGCAGAGAATCTTTATTGTGGTCCATATTTCTGTAAAACTATAAACAATACTGAAATATAGGTGGTTCTCACAGTCACTTATTCCATTCTATAGCCTACATACACATCGTGCTGTGCAACACTTGGGAACTTTCATTTGATGTCATATTATGTTTTTTAAACAGATCCTTGGATGTTGTATCAATTGATATTAAGTTGCACAACAATGCTAGTTACAATTGCTAAAAGCTTTAAGTTAATTTGTTTATGTTACGTATGCAGAGAAAGAACATTTTAAAAAGATAGTAACCTTTTCAGGTTACAGAACTCCCACTCTTTTGAAGCTACAAATGTAATGCACAGTTTATAAGTCTCTAAATTTCAGGAAGCTGTGAGCCATAGAAGACTTTTCAAACAAATGATGTTCGAAACGTGTGAATAACTTTCTTTTTTATAAAAAAAATGCTCTAAAATGGCATGCCAGACACACACATTTAAAATAAATTGTCAGTTTTTTTTGTTAAGGAGAAAAGAAATTCCTGCCCAATTCAATCCTACACTGCTAGTTTAGGCCCCTCTGATATTATGTGCAAGAAATGGCACCTTTGTGTGCACGAGATTCTTCACTTCCTTATATCAAAGATACAATAAAAACTTACAAGAAAGTAAGATGCTTTCGAGCTGCCCTTCACAGGGCACCGAGCAGTTTGCAGTTTACATGCTCTGTGTTTGACTGGCATCACCAGGTCAGGATTTGACTTGAAACTGGATTTAAATTTTGTTCATGAATCAGTCATTATGGCTTCCCTCAGGGACCAAACAGAAACTCTTCCCTTCCTCTCTGTCCACACTCTCCACATGAAACCTTTAAACCAGATACTGGGGAGGACAGCTGCTGCAATCGTAAGCTATGAGAGGAGTCGGGAGTTCTCTGGAATGATGGTTTGGATGTCCGCACCTCATTTGTAATACAGAAGTGATGTTAATAGGAAGTTGGTGGTCATGTGAATGAGCAGAGCAATTATTGCAACTGTAGCTAATCAATTAGATTTCACACATAGATTTGTGACCCAAGTCACTTATTGACTTACAGTAATCATCAGGTTTTGTTGCAATGGTTATCAGTAAATTCACTGAAAAAGGTAAGTGCTATTTTGACTAAATCTTATCTACTGTGAAGTGCCTGTGGAAAGCCTCTTAACCCCATTTTTGTTCAGGTGCGGATTATTCCTGGCTTTGTATAATAGTTTTTTTTAATGTCTGATAACAATGGATGCCTTATTCGACTTTGAATTTAAATGCTCCACTGTGTAACTGCAAAAACAACTGGGATTTGATGTGTCGGTCACCAGATTTATTTTTACCTTCATCAGTTTTCAAATGTTCTTAAAACCTTTTGTTTAAAGTCTTTGTGAATGAAATTTGAAGGCTGTTGTTTCAGATGTGAATTTATTTCTATAAAAATATCAAGTCTGCCAAACCTCAAAAATATATTTCTTACTCTGAGTAAATTTTTTTTATAGATTGACTGAGTGAGTCACATATACAATAACTAATGTAGCTATAGATCACATCACACAGGGACTATTGCTGGCAGAGGGCATGAGACTTTCTTGCCAACTATTCTCAAAGCTACAAACTAAGAACAGGAAATGAGGAGATTATCTTTTAGTAACAGGATTAATACTAATCCTTGCATTCGTATTTCATTTTGCACTTATCATATTGCAATGTCTCAAAGTGCTTCACAGGATTTTACTATGAAGTGTAGTGCTGTGCATTTATCATTTATTTGCAGGCAAAGGTGGTTGGTTGCCTTGCCACAGCAGTATGAAGTCAATTTTATTTGGGGGATTTGTTGCTGGGAAAAGGAGAAACTCCCTTCTCTTTGAACAGTGCAATGGGATTTTTAACATCCACCTGAAGCGGCAAATGGGACTTCAGTAGGTTTGACATCTCATCCAAAGGATGACACCATCAACAAAGAAGTACACCCCTAGCATTGCATTAGTGTCAGCCTAAACTATGTGAACTCAAAGTTCCGATGTGGGGCTTGAACCCACAATCCTTTGACTCAGAGGAGAGAGTGCTACCAACTGAGCCAGACTGATAGTTTGATTTGGTGATGGAAACTACAATGGAACTGGACAAGTTCCAACCAACTAAAAGGATTCAGGTTTATTGGACTTAACAATGGAAACATCCAGGAAATCACGTGGGAACTTGGATGAGTGAACAAGAAATAACTCTTCCCTGACACTTGTTACTACTCCATCATGCACAACAAATATCAAGGCAATGGCATTTAGTAGCTTTCACTTTAAGCACATCAGTAATCACTGTCCACTCGATTCTCAAACGTCAGATGTTATTTATTCTTATGAAAACATATTTGAGAGGTTTGGTAGATTTTAATTCATCAGTTACTCCAGAAACATCTGTATATCTGTATAAGCCATAAGTGTTCATTGCTTTAGTGCAAAGCCAAGTCACAGCTGAACTGGGCTTAGTTCCGTTGCTAAACAGCAATAGTGAGAGAAAAACATTCTCACAAAATCCTACATTGGGAACACAGCCCACAAGGTCATAGATTCCACAAACTCTAATGACTGTGAAGAACAACAGTGGCAACTTCTGCTGTTTGTGATGTTCCTCGGGGTTATAAAAAACAGCTCCACAAATTGGAGCTTCATTATTAGTGCAATGTTGTGGCATTGTATGTATAATCAGTGGGCTGACTCGATTCTGACATTCCATTGCCAAGCATGTCACCTTGGAACCAATTCAGCTCCAAGGAGGCTCTGCTTACTATAAATGAACCGTATGATGTGATCAAATCGGTTTCTTTTTAAAATGTTTTATCCGTGGATCATGAACCTAAAGTTGTTCAATCTTGATTCGCAATTACAGAGATGTAAAGATTTTAATTTGCACATTTATTCCTACTCCTAAAGTTTTTATTTTAAAAAGCTGTGCATTTCAAATGTGTTTAAATCTAGATTTACTTAAAGAGCAAATGTCAGTCACCATCTGTAACTGCTTTGCGAAAAGATTTGTGTAACAAAGAATTGTCATTTGCTCAAGCATTTTATTTCAGTCTCTATGGTGATTCGTTTTGAATATTTCTGTTTAATTGATGAGTAGAGAGGTTATAAAGCCTAACGGCAAGATGGTTAAGTGAATGCAGACAGGTAAAATTGAAACACCTGTTTAACAGCTATGTTACTTTCCACTTGTAGGTAAAATTACTCTTTGTGTTGGACACAGCCAGAATAACTCCAGCCTCACAAACCACCACAAAATCAGGGGGATACTTCATAGAGTGAAATTCCCATCAGCTTCATCACACAACACAACCCCTGTAGCCCCTCCAGCCACCAGTGGGGTAGTGTTCCAGAGCGCTTAAATATACATTTATTAACACAATCTCCAAGTTTGATCAATTTAGCGACGAGTGGAAAATAACTTCCGTGTGATTATAATAAGAGCAATGTTATATTTGTATAATTATATAACAATAATATGTATTAATTATATTAATAATACTTGTATTAATAATAATAATTATTATTAATTATATAGTGCCTTTCCTGTCGGGAGGACATCTCAAAGCGCTTCACCAAATTGAAATTGCCTGACTATTGGATCTACTTGCTAAAGCAATCAGTTATTTTCCCAGTGCTAATATTACTTAACATTTGAACGAAAATATTCAACAAAAATAAAGTATAAAATGAGGAAACTGCAGTTTAAGTTAATAGTTTGTTAGGTTTTGTAAAAATAGGCTCCTGATGGTGATGCTTTCTCTTTAAACTTCACAACTTATGTCTGTGAGTAATCAAGAGGCTTGAGTTTATACAATAAATCACATTAAATATGTATTTTGAAAGAAAATGTGAATAGCAAAAATTTCAAATGAAAACTAGTCGAATTCTCACTAGCCTTCCAGCCCGCTGGGAACCAAAGGGCAAGAGTGGGAATTTACTTCCAACTTTGATATTTGACATCCTTAACAATATGTAAAAACAAGTTTTACAAAAAGTAAAAGAAATCTTAGAAAGTATAAACACAATCTGCATGTTGTGGGTTGAACTGTATCAGGTAGTTCATGTGGCTAAGATATTGGCTAAGATATTGGCTAAGATATTGGCTAAGATATTGGCTAAGATATTGGCGAGCAGTCATAAAATTGATGTTTCCATTGCAGATTGTTTTTTACTTCACATTTTGGTTCTTGCCCTGTTTTTTTTTTTGAAAAATAGGAACGAAAACAGCCTCTCAGTTCCTTCAATGTCACAAATTTGTTAGTTTTGAAAAAAAACTTTATTGCAAAGCAAAGTGATAACATTGAACGGTTAACAGCTCAAAGTCTCCTGACACAAGTCATTGTTGATTTCACTGTTATAGGGGAAAGGCTCTAGGGCTGCAGATAAGGGGGTCACCATGGTGATGAAGGAGATACCGAGGGAGGAGGCTGGAGAAGGAAAACCCCTCCTTACTGTGACATCACAGGTGGGCACATCATGCCAACTGGAAGCCGTTGGCATGTGGTCATTCAGTCAAGTCGGCTGAATGTGTGAGGACACGGTCATCAAACACAACTTGACATTGTAGACTCTTCCACAAAGAAGGAAGCACAGACATTAATCCAATGCGATACCCAATTAATGTTTGCCCATCTATGCCATTAACAACATCCATCCCAATCCTGTGTTGGTAAAAAGTTTTCAAAAGTACATTTCCAATAGGATCAGGACTTCAGAACATTCACTGGGGAGGGCTGACTTGCTGTGGCAATCAAGAGCTTCCTAAACTTCTCCACTCTGATAGCTAAGAGAAATCTCAATCTTGTACAAACAGACCAGCATTTTCTCTGAAGAGACGACACGAAAATCTATAATGCTGACATGTTCATTTTACAACTTCCCATTCAAAAGTAATCTTCATTTGGATTACTCCATACAAACTTTAATACCCTAAAAAATTCTCTTTTTAAAAAAAATCGTTGAGGAACAGAAAGTGCAATTCTGCAGAAGAAAATACACAAGTATCTGAATTATGGAATAATATTCTCTTTTCCACTCCACCAGACCCAAAAAAATCCCGTCAGTTTATCTCAATCATTCTGTCATGTTACATTGAAATAATTTTAAGTGCACATTTTCATTTGTGATACATCCTTTTAATTTAAAAAAAACTTCACTGATCCCTTTGTGTCCAAGATGTAACATCTTCATCCTGTCCTTCCAACTTCCCCCTCGAATACTCATCTCTTTCCAGTGGCAAATGAGTGTGATGCCTTTAGGATAAGAGTTTTGCTGTGCATCTATTTTTAATGTGACGATTGACCTTGTTGCTATTTGCAATGCTCTAAGTTGCTAACCAAGATCTCTATTAAACTGCTCATTTGATCTAGTGCTTTTTCTTCTACTAATAGTCTGTTGAAAATGGAGAGATTTAAGTATGACATCAATGGGCTGCAAATACAGCACGTGACAATGTAACTGGGTGTTTGTCGAGTTATGTTATGTTGTTGTGTCCTCTGGCTAAAAGTAACAAAAGCTCAATACACGGAAGCGCACCATTTATTCAGCATTCAATTGTAACTGCTGAGCAGAAAGTAAGCTATTTTATTTGTATACGATTGGAGTCGGGATGAGCATTGCAATAGGTTTGTGTCCACATTTCTCTCGCTCCCCCCACCATATTTTAAGGGGCCCAAACCTGATTGTGAACTCAGTTTACAAAAATGACAGCATGGGTGTAGCTACAGGATCTCTAATAGAAACTCAAATGCACGAAATTGCCTGAGAACTTGAAAGACATTGCCAGGGACCTCAGACAGATAGACAGCAACTAAATTACCAGGGAGACTGGATATGTTTGTTCAGCAGAACACCATTACAGTCTGGCACTGCATGTCTCTACACTGCCAAAGAACCTGGATGGATGGTTGGTGGATGGATGAAGCAGGACAACCAGAATAGCAGAGAAATTCAACACATTAGATCCACAGGGATTAGGTTGTGTCGGACTCGTTTTTTATGTGAGATGGATTGATGCATTACCGTCAGGTCAGCAAAAAAGTTAGACACATGTGATCCATCAAACTTTCACAGAAACCAGAGGCTGACACTATAGTCATGAGTTCACCAGGGAGAGTGAGCGTGAACCACCGAGAACTCAATAGCAAATAACACACAAGAGAAATGGGATGAACAATACACATTGATTTTTAAATTAAAAAAACATGAAATCAACACCAAAAGTTTAGTATTAAATCAGTATCGATCGATTTCGGGTCCTGCACCAGAATCCCAAATGCCAAAATCTCCAGTAAAAACAAATTAGTCAAAGTGTCGGTTTTGGGGTCAGTTTCATTGGGAGCTGTGAGGAGGGGCTGCCAGACAGAGCAGGAGTCGCTATAAATCGAATTGAACTATCCCTGTCCAACCAACCAGAAACCTATTGATTTGCCTATTTCCTCTCCTCCCCCCTTTTACATTTGCCCTGTGAGGGCAAATCAGCCTAATCTAGTTAATATATTGAATCCATTGGCTACCCTAACCTGCACACAGGTCAGGTTACAGATTGAGTGTTGTTCTTTTCTATATAGTCTTTAAAAATAATTCTATTGAAAATGAATGGTTCAAAAAAAATCTCAGTTGCTTTGCGGTATAAATGATACATTAAGTTCACTAGCGCAATGCAATTGTGTATCCAAAGTATTTCATGAACAAAATAGATTTTCTCCCACACCGCTGCATTGCGATCCTCCATTATTGCTCAACGGGAAAACAGTAATTTGCTGAAATGGTATTAACGCACTTACTCATTATGTGTAACAAGAAACAATGAGCTCCAAATGCAGTAATGTTATAGGAACGATAGTAAATCACTAACAAGTAAGGTGGGATGAAGTCAGTTGTATTCCCGGTCTGGCGCCAGAGAAACCCATGGAAACCAGAAGGTGATCAATATAGAATTGAATTGTTTGTGTCTTGGGAAATTACATCTGTTCGGCATTTTCAGGTTGTTTGGCAACAGAACAGCGTCTGAGTTACAAAGCCAACAAATGGTTGGCGGCGGGGGGGGGGGGGGCAGGAAAGCTACAAATCTGTGCCCTTTCGGGATTTAATACCGAAAGCAACTGAGATCAAATGTAGGTCAGAATTGGGAAAGACAGTGTCAGGACCTTCAGTATAGCAATGATCTAAATCACTCGAATAACTGAGAATTACTCAAACTACCTTATTTGGTGAAAAGCATTCATGCCAAAGTACCACAGTATTTGTGTGGATGTTATGCAGTGTTTAATTCTACATCCTTAATACCAAACAGCACCTTATCTGAAGATATCATTGCAGATTGCTCTCCTATTTGAATAGTCGAGTATTTATCACCAAAATCATAGATCAGTTGAGAGCAAATCTTGCTTATAATCAATATTTGTTCCATAATATATATTTTAAAATAAATCTTAAAACACCATCATGATTAGATGATCATCACTCACTGTTAATAGTAATTAAGAGAGTTTTCATTTAGTTTAATTTGTATCTCAACTGCTGAACAATTATTATTGATATCCCCATCACCCAAAAAAAATCTTCCCAATACTTTTAGTACAGATAAAAAATAACTGAGTTAAAAATGTTGCATTATGTTAAACACCCAAATTACACTTATACGTTGCCTTTCATGTTGGAAGGATGTCCCAAAATGCGGAACGTTCACAAAGATCACAAGATTGGTCTAGATGAAGATAGCTTGAAGGACCATCTGATCTCATCCCTCCACAATACCCACCCCATCACTGCATCAGGTTGATTTTTAAGTGAGTCCACTACTACCTTCCTGGCAACCCGTGTACCTTAAAGTGTCATTGCTGATCCATTAAATCTCAGATGCATTGGTTACAAAGTGGAGTTAGTTTTAACAAAAGCATCAATGAAATAGTGTGAGGTGCACAGTGAGGGGTAATGGGATGGGTGGGTTACCCTGTTGAAGCAGCAATATAAAGATGACATGTTTTACAAGTCCTCGTACTGGTGGGACAGCCCACCATTAAACCCTCTCGTTCCCGGCAATTTTCATTTCAATTTCAATTGAAAACCATTAGTGCTCAGAACTACAGAGAATGATGCAGCCTGTTTGCCAGCTGTTTGTGCCAGAGGGAGACATGCAGTGAAAATTAAGGGTGGGTGGGGGGGAGAAAAGAGATGATTGGGGAAGTAAACATAAATGAGAAAACAAAGGCCAACTAAAGAAGATGGATCACTGCATTATGCGATTTGGACAAAGTTGAAAGACCCACATCATTTCCTTTGCAAATCCTGGAAGATTATGTGATTTGCTTTACGAAACTAGTTCATATCCCCTGACATCAGACAATTTATCCCATGTTGCCAAAGTCCACTAGATGACACTCTCTGCCCTTTAAACAGCAATTACACAAGCACCAGTTACTGATTACACAGTGGTCATTGCACTCACATAAATCAAAATAAGGCATTTCATTAGTTAAGTTTAATAGTAAATCTACAGTTGGAGCCCGAATTACTCCGATTTTGTGAGGGCAATTCATTGCATTGTTGCCACAACATGATGATATACGAATCTTGGCAACATCCCATAAACGTTTGCACATTGCAACTTGGACGTCAGTCAGTGACATCATTTCATTTCCTCTTTCTACTATTGCTCAATTATTAACGTTATAAAAGTCCTATCATTGGGAATCAGCACATCTGTAGGAGAACCTAGATTAAAACATTTGCAAAAAGCTATTTTGTCCACATGGGATAATTTCATATTCATCAAACCCCTTCCCCCATTGCCTATTCTTATTAATTGGTGTGTGGGGCGGTGGGGGTGGAGGTCTGGCGGAAATAAAGGTTGAATTAAAGGTGTAAACTGCATTTTGGCTGAAACTTTGTTTGAAAAATTGTTTATTTCACCTCTTAAGACCTTAATGCATTAATTATCCTCATCATCAGGCTGAGTCCCTCCGGGAACAGAGAGCACACAGGCCTGGCCTGCACTTGGTGAGCTCTCCGTCTGGTCTGGAGACTCTCAAACATGGTGACAATGGGCTTCCACATGGGTCAGACACCCCTCTGATCATGCAATACACAAGCCAAACAATGTCCTCCATCTGATAATTGGTTTTAATGGGGAATTGCCTTTTCCTCAAGTGCCACATAATCCTAAATGTTAGAAAGTGAGACAATGGCAACGTTACTCACATTTTCCACTGTTTTAAGCTGCGAAAGTACCAGTTATGAGCTGTGCAGGGAGCAGGTGTTTTATGTTGAATTTGTTGGCTGTGATAACAGGAAGTTACATTCCACAATGCATGGAGGTACAGTAGGAATACAGTCACCTATACTGTAGTAAGAGCAATATTATTTGCTTTAAGAGGGCACGATAGGCAAGTAACCAGGGGACTTCTTCAGATCAGTCATTTAAGGAAGGGTTAAGGTGGCCTGTTCTCTTTGGAAAGTGTTGCAATGATCATCAGAGCAAGATGGTTATTATGACTTATTCTGGTTATATTACTTTCTTGGCCCACCTTTTCCACTGTAATTTATGGGTCTTTGCCTAACTGGCTTTTATTCAATAAGATGTGCAGTTTGACTGAGATCCATTGATCCATTTCACAGTTGCTGTCAGGGTACAAAGTAGAAGTGTGGTAAAATCAGGTAGGTAGATAGGATTGATGCTGTTGTTAATCCCTTAACGCTGCAATTTCCAACCAGCCGATCCAATTTTAAACATTCACAATTTTTACAAATCAAAACCAATAGTAAACTTTAATACATTTTATGCTGATTGTAAAGTTGCTGTAGCTTCAGGTTCGTCACATTTCAGGGTATATTACCACACAACACACTGCAGCTTTCCAGTATGAAGCAGTGAAGATAAACTGTCTAAATTAATAACATTGTCAATAAAATAAAGTCATAAACAACATTCAGTTGGAATAAAAAAGACAAGAAAGAAAAATTCTAGGCCCCTGTTGATAATGTGAAACTCTCAATATTAATTTACTTCAATTATACGTTATTGAAGTTAGAAAAAGGTCAAACAATTCTGGAAGGAAAGTCTGGTTCAATACAACAGATTACTGTTGAAAAGGACTAGTTTTATAGGTAGAACTGCTGTGTAAAAGTCTAAAGCATTGGGTTCCTGGCTGCTTAAACCTGCCCAATAAAACATCCTTTGTCAAATTTCTTTTCTTGGGGAAAAAATCTAGTCCAAAAAGAAAAAACAAAATCTATTTTGCTCCACTGGAACATTTTTCTTGTAACAATTAAGGGGGAGGCAGCCCTGATAATACAGTCAACGAGAAATGGATTTGCTTTTTGGTCCACATGGTGCCAGACCATCGAACCCAGAAGCTGTACACATGAAGGGTTTAATCTGTTCTCAGCTGAGCTGCTGGAGAAGGTTTTCCACTTCAGGGAAAACTGAGCTTCCCGAGTCATAGCTGAGGCTTTGTTACAACATCAGTAACAGAAATAACCTCACTGGCATGATGGCGATGTCAGCAGCCAGGGAGAGAGGAGTGTAGAGACAGGGAGCTAAAGCATGATTTACATGAGTTATATAATAGAAACCAATCTTTCACAAGACAGCTTCGGGTGAAGAAGGTCAATTGATCCATTTTCACTTCTCTTTCAATAAAGAAATAATTTGTCTATCTGCCGTAAAATTGCCTGTCACAATTTATCCCATTAATAATCTTATGTACTTATGCCCTCTTTGACATCGCTTTGGGGCCTATTTATCAATTCATTCCTCATAGCTCATTCCTCTAATATTGGGGATTATCCTCATTGTTGTATCAGTGATTCCCATTGTTGCTGACTATCTAGAGAGATTCCCTGCCTCCTCCCTCCTGCTGCCACATGACGATGTTGGTGAGGACAGAACAGGGCTCAGCTGTGCTGAACCACTTCAGGCCAGAACTCACAATCATGTTTCATACAGTAATATGAACTACTCGGGAAAGGTGCCAGTTGATTAGCACTTATGGAACCCCATACAAACCCCAAGAGAAAGAAAACAAAACGTGTCACAATATCTTCAGGAGGAGGAGAGAAAATTAGTTGAAGTTTTCCTTTATCAACAACAAATGACATTTGTGTAGCGCCCTTCACATCGGGAGGAAGTCCCATGGCGCTGGACAGTCAGAGATTTGGATCCGAGCTGTTAGTTGGGAACAAGAGAACATCAAAACAAATTTAATAGCCTACTTGCTATGAGAGCAAATCCTTTTTCAATCTCTCGCCAGGTTTACATTCCCACATTAAGTCGGCTGGTAATAATAAATCACGCATTTCCTCGCAGGATCACAGTCAGCATTGTAGCATTCCGCCCTCAGTGTAACTGCTCAGGGCTCAACATTCACATAGACCCATTGTTACATAAATAATATAATAATCCTTGCATTTGATATAGCGCTTCTCGTGTCATCTAGACATCTTAAAGCACTTCACTGAATATACTTTAAAGTGACTGTATATTTTGTGGACGAAATGCGGCAGCCAATTGCACACAGCAGCGTCCCACAAACAGTCGCGGATTGAGTGACCAAATTCTTTTTTTTTTTTTAAATTCTTGAAGGATTATGATCAGGTATGTGTGTGAAGTAAGGAAACTTGCCCAAGGTTTTGCCCTGGTAGGAATCAAACCCAGGTCTCTCGCTTGCGAGGCGAGTGCTCTAACCACTGAGCTACAGGACTCCATTACATCTGGCCTCAAAGAAAGCAGATTTCAATCACACAATACCACAATCTCCGCAAGCCACCAGGAAGCCTCATTGTTTCCCGATATTAAAAAAGTACCTTCAAACACCTATTGCACAGCAACGCCTCTATGGCTTCATTGAAGAACGTGAAAACTTTGGTTGCTTATGGTCATAGGAACAGGAGGAGGCCATTCAGCCTCTCGAGTCTGTTCTGGTATTCTATTAGATCATGATCTGTAACTCAACTCCAATTACCTGCCTTTGCCCCGTATCCCTCGATACCCTGACCTAACAAACATCTACCCATCTCAGTCTTGGAAATTTGAATAGAAAGACCCTCAAACACCCTTAAATACAAACACTATTGCTAAAGCTCTTAATTGCAACTCACCAAATCCTAAATTATAGAAATTTTAAAAAACACAATCAACACAGGAAATCTGCAGCACGTGACTGGTCAGAGAAAGGCAGGTTAGTACATCGGATGTGACTGTTTGTCAGATGCTAAAATGCCCGACACCCAACACATTATCCCATCTCTCGCCTTCAGACACTGAGTGGTCCTCTATGGATTTCTAGCCTTTTTTTGTTTTTATTCATGATTTAGTTTCTCTTCATTTGCACTGTTCTCAACCATCGATTTCCTCTTTTCCCCGATGAGAGCTTGCCCGCTTTAAAATTGATTTCTTCCCCTGCTCTGCAAGCCCCCCCCCCCCACACACACACACACAACAAGCTCCCTTTGACAACTTCTTTATTTCTATTTGTAGCTGGTGAATGAACAACAGGAGAGCCGCCCTCTCCTGAGCCCCTCGATTGATGACTTTCTGCTTGAAGCAAAACCTGAGGGAGTTTCACGTGCACCAACATCAAATACTTCAGGTGACAATGAAATCCTCCAGCGCTAGAACACGTTAAATATAGAAATATAAAAAAATAATTCTCACTCCTTTTAACCATTTTCGGAGAAACAATCACAATTTTTATGTGTAAATGTCTGTGGGATCAATGAGCTTGAGTTAACACTATAATGCGTGTCATACGTTTGGAAGGAGACAGCTATTAGTATCGACTGTTCCACTTCTCTTTAGAATACGAGCTGGACAATGCATTCCAAACATAAAAAACAATGACAAGACCGAAGGTTAGGAAAACCAAAAACTTCTGAATAGTTCACCAAATCTTGTGATAGTAATCCTTACATTTGATAACAGCTCCTTTCACCTTATAAAGATTATATGATCCTTGCATTTGGAACAGCGTCTTATCACGTCATTGAGACGTCTTGAAGCACATCACAGAATATATTGTACAGTGCATTGGCTGTGTGTTTCGTGGGCGAAATAGGAGGATGTTTCAAAGCGCGTGCCAGGATACACTGTAAAGTGGAATTACAACCTGACAGTTGGCACCCAGCAATGTCCCAAGCTGATATCTGAGCTGATGGGCAGACAACAACAACAAGAAAATTACATTTATAGAACGTCTTTCATGTCGGGAGGACGTCCCAAAGCGCTGAACAGTCAGGTGTCGGGGCCTGAGCATGGGGGAGGGGTGGTGTAGGGATGAGGAAAGGCAAAGAGGTGGGAGGGAGACCAAAGGCACGGTCGAAGAGGAGGGTCTTGAGACTGACTTTGAAGGAAGCAAGGGAGGAAGCGAGGTGAAGGGATTGTGCGATGGAGTTCCAGAGTGGTTGAAAGCCCGGCCACCGATGGTAGGGCGGGTCGGGCGGGAGACATGGAGCAGGCCGGAGCCTGATGAACGGAGTGAGCGGGCAGGTTGGTATGGAGTCAGCAGGTCAGAGAGGTAGGAGGGGGCAAGGCCATGGATGGGCTTAAAGGTGAGGACGAGGATCTTGAACTCGATCCTCTGGGGGATGGGGAGCCAGTGGAGTTGGGCGAGGGTGGGAGTGATGGGGTAGTGGAGCCTGGTGCGAGAGAGTACATGAGCTGCAGAGTTTTGGATGATCTGCAGCTTGTGAAGGGAAGAGTTGGGAAGGCGATGAGGAGGGAGTTCTCGTAATCAAGCCTTGAGGTGACGAATGCGTGGGTGAGGGTGTGGGCAGCTTGAGGGGTGAGACAGTGGCGGAGTCTGGCAATGTTGTGGAGGTGGTGGTAGGCATTGCCGGTCATGGCGCGGATGTGGGGGAGAAAGAACAGTTCAGGGTAAAACAAGACACCCAGGTTTCTGACTGACTTAGTGAGGTTGAGTGTGCAGCCGTGGAGGCTGATGGTGCCAGTGCCTGAGGTGTGGAGGCACTGGCATGAGCCAATCAGGAGGGTTCAAACAGTCCTGTTTGAAAGTGAAGATTAACATCTGGTTTGTTTCAAACTAGTCTTTCAAGTACAGACATATTTTATAAAACTGTTGTGCTTATATTGCTGTGAATTCCAGTGCCACTCCTGCACTCTTAGCCCCATCGTCCTGCAAATATAAGCACAAGCAGATGCTTAATGGTAAAGCTTCAGCTTATTAACTCTCACACACTTGTGGAAGGTTCTGTGGATTTCATGCAGAGGAGGCAGCTCAGGGACGACTGAGCATTTTGGTAAAACAAAATGGGCTTCAAGATGTGGTGGGAACCTTCCGCCAAGGCCTGCCTCAGTGCGTGTGTGGGAGGTGCCAGCCGTATGAAGAAGCCCACTGTGAATTGCATCATCCAGCAAATAAAACTGGTCTCATTATAGTCCAGATGGCACCACACAGTTTCTGCGACAACTGGTGAACAATTCATTCCATGTTTCTGAAGATCAGACATCTGGTAGTGCACCGGGCAGCAGGACGTGGCTTAGTTGACATCTGTTTTCAGATAGTGATATGAGGCAACCTGAGAGGTGTTTATGCGGTTGTCTCGTCTCCCAGTTTGTCTCTCATCAATATCACACGTAGCGAGTTGAGATGCACATGTGTGACAGTGTGTGTGACGTGATTTTAGGGGGAACATCCCAAGACCGTTCCAATTCCAAAAATTGAGCCTTCTCTCCTCTGACGAACGTGTAATTGTGAACGACCCACAATCCCCAAGAACAAGTCGCTCATTTTCTTCCACATCAGTATTGGGATTTGACATTTAGGGCTGTGACAACTCATTACACCACAACCACAAAAGGTAGTTGTAATTAAAGCACCTGCCCATCATGCACACTGTCAGGTTAAATCAGCAGGAGATGTGCGTCAGTGCTCAATGCCATGCTGATCTGAAAAGTCTAGCTGACAGGAGTGAAGGAAGAAGCAGAGAGCTTTGATCACTCTGTGAAATCTGATTGCACTCCATTCCCAGAGATACTGTAATTATGCTGCATATTGACAGCAAGTACAAGCTTGGAACATCAATACGGGTGTGGGGGGGGAGGGCAAAAATAAAGAGCAGCAAATACCAACATCAACAAATATAAATATACTGTAAAGTAAATTTGCCCACAGAATATACAGTCAATTAATTCACTTTACAGTATATTCTGTGAAGTGCTTTGAGACGTCTCAATGACGTGATAAGGAGCTGTAGCATATGGAAAGATTATTATTACATATTTTACATTTGGATATGTGCGATTTGTTTTAGAAAGGTCATTTTTAAAATAAGACAAACAATATACAGATCAAGCATATGGTTTCTTTGTGTGGACAAAACAAAAAATATTGCAAACTTTAGTTATAAATGACAAATTGCTGATCCTTTCACAAAGTCACCGGCTTTGATTTTTTTAAACCCCCCCAAAAAAAAGCTTGCGGAAGCCAGAAAAAGATCACATTAGTTCCTTCTGCCATTAATTAGTTTTAATCTAATTTCCTCCTGCAGTTTTGTCTCCTGCTTCGGATCTTTTGGACCTGAGAGAACCAGGTATGAAAAGCAGCAGCAATAACAAGGTGAAGAAATCAGACACAACTTCTAGAGGCGATGGAGTAAAAGCCACTTCCTTCAGAAAAGGGGCAGAAGATACTGATCTTATCAAAGTAGAGATTGAACAAACCATTCCAAGTGTCAAGGTATCAAAGCGACCTCCCATGGATGCTGGTAAGAACGATATAAACCCTGATTAAATTGCACCGAATCAAACTAATCTGCATTCTTTTCACCGTCTACCCTTCTCCCTTCCATAAGCATTCTGGGGATCCCCTTACACAGACCCCCTCCCCCCTCAAGCCTTGGCTCTTGCCAATTTACACCTAATACACTCCGGGATTAGGTAAACAGGGTATTTCCCTCCAGAGAGGAGAGTACACATTCCATTCCATCACAAACAAAAAGAATAAAACCATAATATTCTCATTGTTTCCTCCCACTTTGGTTACTCACAGTGTTTCTTCTGACCCTTGTTTAGCCGGTGTACAGCCACATCTGGAGAAATGGGAAGATGTGAATCTGCACAGTGAGAAGATCCCTGAGGGCCAATGGGCATCCGACAGAAGACGCTCTGCCAGAGCCGCGTCACAGGAGCTTTTATGGTGAATAATGACCGTCGTCATGTGGCAGCATCTCATCTCAGGTCACAAGGTCTCAGTCTAGGCTGATGCACCAGTATTGTGCTGGGTGGGTGGGGAGGGCTGCATTATCAGAGGTGCCAATTTGCGGATGAGATGATAAACTGAGGTCCTGTCTGCCTGTTCAGATGGATATTAAAGATCCCACGCCGCTCCTCAAAAAGAGAAGGAAGTTTCTCCTGGTGACGTTAGCCAAAATCCCCCAGATTAAACTGATCACTCGCTTCATAGCTGGTTGTGAGCATTGCTGACACATTCACCAACAATATACTCAGCAACTCTACTTCATAATAACCCCTGTGAAGCGCTTTGAGATGTCTTCTAAACATGAATGGCACTATATTAAATGTAAGGGTTACTATTATAGTTCCCTTGGGATAATTTCCTTGGTGGAATAGTAATTGTATTAAGAGCAATGGAGTAGTGAGAACTGTGAAAGCTCCTAGTAATATATGAAAGAGACCCTTGCTTAATCCATCGTAAAGTGTACATTCAGTTGTACTCATTAGAAATGTTATTAACTAGGTTGTCATTGCTCTCAAAGCATAACAACAACAACAACAAGATTCCATTTATAAAGTGCCTTTCACGTCAGGAGGACGTCCCAAGGCGCTGCACAGTTGGGTCAGGACCCGAGCAGGGGGGAAATGGTCAGGGTGAGGGGAGGGAAGGGAGGGAGCGAGGAGGGGGGAAATGGTCAGGGTGAGGGGAGGGAAGGGAGGGAGCGAGGAGGGGGAAGAGAGTCGAGAGGGGAGCTGAAGGCTCGGTCAAAGAGAAAGGTTTTGAGACCGGCCTTGAAGGAGGAGAGGGAGGAGGCGGCGAAGGCACTGGGGGATGAAGTTCCAGAGCCTCGGGGCTGAGAGGCTGAAGACCCGACCACCGATGGTAGGGCGATTGGGGTGGGAGACGTGGAGCAGACCGGAGCCGGAGGAACGGAGGGTACGAGCAGGTAAGTAGGGGGATAGTAGGTCAGAGAGGTAGGAGGGAGCAAGGCCGTGGATGGCCTTATAGGTGAGGATGAGGATCTTGAAATCAATCCTCTGGGGGATGGGGAGCCAGTGGAGGCGAGCGAGGGTGGGTGTTATGTGGTCCCGAAGCCTGGTGCGGGACAGTACACGAGCTGCAGAATTCTGAATAATAATAATAATAATAATAATAATCCTTGCATTTGATATAGCGCTTTTCACGTCGGAAGGACATCCCAAAGCGCTTCACAGAACATAATGTAAAGTGAATGACCTGCAGCTACAAAACCCTACAAAACCCTGCGTATGCTCTTCTGTTGATAATACTGAATGCATGTTGGTCCCCGGTTAGAAGCTGTTATTGCCTGACATTTTACAAACCGCAAGTCAAAACCTCCAGGAATCAGGTCTGATGTTCAGATAATTTTCTGTCCCATTCAGGTCAGCGGAGAATAAGCTGGAGTCGGACCTCGGTTCTCGCCAGAATGTTATGCAAAGGAGTTCAGCATCAACCGAACTAGAGTTAATCCCAGCCACACAGGTCAGTGAAGGAAGGGCCTTCACTTAACATACACCTGTTTCTATTTCAGTCTCACTTACTGCTTATATACCAAATACACCGTTGATAGGTAGACTGCGCTCCATTCCATTTGGAAGTTGTGTCTTTCTTCATCATCTATTACAACAGGAGTGTGCGTGGTGTGTGTGTGTGGCACGGGTGAGGGCGTGGGGGAGAGAGTGGGTGTGTGTGTGGTGGTGGGGGAAATACACATTATTGGATCAAGCTGTAGTCTCCTGCAAGGTCACGAAACTTGCTTAAGAAATTGGAGAAGAGGTTTGCGGACTAAATCGATTCCCCTCATTTGACCGAATAAATATCTTGGAAGAGAAAGGTACATTTTAACTAACAGTACACTGTTGGTGTTTCTTGAGTTCCTAGTAAATAGAAAAAAAGTATTTTCAAAGAGATGGATTGTTGGTCAAAAGGACACGTCAGTTTTGATCTTTAAATATGATAAATGATTCAGGGAAATATCGCTGCCCCTTAAGTGAACGCTTTTTATGATTTGTTACACTTTGATGATCTTGTCTGTGTGATAGATTATTTGTCAGGATTTGATGGCCTTGATTTATTGTGAAGATTATTTGGATGTGATTTTGTGCAGGGCTCAGTGACCATCGCTACAGCAATGGATTTCTAAAGGTGCATTTTTAAAGATATATTTATACATTTTTGCTCAAAAAAACAAAGAGTTAAATGAAATGGATCATTTTAAAGAGACTTTAGAGTGGGAATATTTGAGCCCCAACGTATTTCTACTCCATTCAAGTCCTTGTACCTCAAGAAAATTGAGCTCACTCATCAAGATCAGGGTGGGAAAGGTTGGCTTCGGTTTGTGCGAAGACGACACAGGATTAGTTATAGCTTTGTGTAAAGCCTCACTAGGTCACAGCCTAGGGAACCTATTTATGTGGCTTTCCATCTCGCACTCAGCTGCCAAAAGTGTATATGCATTAATAATTCACTTGTGGATCAGAGTTATTACAGAATAATCAATGCAACCTTTCATTTGTAATGTAAATATTTTATGATCATTGTGATACTTAATGTCTATTGTGAATGCAGTGGATTCATCTCCTGCTTTGTAAAGACTCCTGAGAAGAAGTGGTGAGATGAGGTTTTGTTAGTGCTGGTTATTTAATGTGTTGTATAAGCCTGGTCTCTCGCCATCCTACGCTCAATACTCTCCAGAATTAGGTAAGCAGGATGTGACCCTACAGGGAGAGAGAGAGAGTGTGCATTGCATTCCAGACACCGAGAAATTTACATTTGATGCAGAACTCTGCCTGATTTGGATACTCAGCAGCATGATAATGGGTTTCTGAAAGTCAAACACCCGCCTGACTAAAAAAAAAGGATTTCAAACCATCCTTCAAGAAAACATCGGCTTATTCAAAAATAGGAGAATGGATCACTAGCAGTTAAACAAGAGGGAAGGCAGCATGGGAGAGAATAGAAGAGAGCGAGGGAGGAAATCCACTAGTTTGAAAATGATACAGTCTGTTTGAGAAAGAAAAAGGGAATCGAAGCACTTGCGAGGCTCACTAATGAACTGCCTCGCCTTTCCTGTTCTTAAAATGCACTGTGACTTGTCATTTCAACAATTGCTCATCTCCTGCAGCTGAATTAATTGAACTTGCTGCATAAATTAATTACAAACTAACATTTCTCTGTAATTAATGTAATGAAATCTAACCTGAATAAACAGGCAGAATCATAAAAGCAGCTTTGTCAAAAACTGATGAAACTCGTGGAACATAAACCTGTGTCAAAACTGAATTCCCAGAGTACTCCCAGAGAGTATTTTTTTAAAAAAAAGTTTGCTTGATTCTATGAAAACAGTACAATGAAAGAAAAGTCTGGTTTCAGAGTCAGCACAGACACGATGAGCCGACTGGCCTTCTTCTATGGCATAAATTTCTATAGTTGTGTGATTCTAAGATAACTTTTACAGTATATAGTTTGGGACATGAAATGTCAAGCGACTGCCAGGATAGTGGAAGGCAAACTCGATGGACTTTGGTCTTCTTTTGCCAGCAAATTCTTATGTTCTTAGTCCCCGACAAAAAAGTTTGACCTTGAGGAGTCATGTTAGGGGTCATGAATCCAGCCCAATTCAGTAATGGTGAGTCGTTCAGTTTTAGCTGGTTACATTCCTACAATAGCCCCAATTCATATACTGGAACCTTCTCACCAGGCATCCAGAAATCATACACATATAGTTTGGCTGGAGACTCCTAACCATGGTGATAAGTTTGCGCTTGCATCAAATACCGATCCGACAAAAAAAGCCTAACTCAGGGCTTTTTAAGATGGAAGAATAGTTGGAATCGATGTACATTGCTATTTCCTGCAAATCAATTTTTCACCTCTTGTAAATTATTTTGTTGAATAAAACATAGCTATTTTAATGCTCTGCCAGTTTTATGGTGCGATAGCCTTGAAACACCATGTTAAAATGGTGAAGATAGAGTGGCTATCAATCAGATACTTTTAATATAAGATTTTGTGATGGATCAGTGGAGAAATACAGAATGGAGCACTGAGCACATGTAGACCTGGATTGGTTTGATCCTGTGTGAAGGGAATGGATCTCATTAAGATTGGCCTCAGGATCCCTTGATTGATGTTCTCGGGGTCCAATGACCTTGCCTAGAAGGTGCAATGTATGGGTATCGGGTGAGAACATAATCTGGCTCAGGTCCAAAGCTCCCTTTCTCCCATCACTGGTTCCTAACTATTCTTTGCATGAAAACCAATTCTCCTAATCTGCCCATTTGCTGCACTTGATGCACTCTGAACTATCTCACCTGCGTGACATTCTTCATGAGCGAGCTCAGAGAGTGATTATCAGTAGGATTATTGAGGGGACAAACCAGTCCACTATCGTAGGCTAAAAGAGACACCAGAGTCCGATTTGTAGAACCCTCAGAAATGTCTTAATAGGAAGTGTGTAATTATCAGACATATTGAGCAATGGAAAAAAACACAAAATACTGCAGATGCTGGAAATCAATAATCCTGAGTTCAGAGTGCATAAAGTGCAGCAGATGGGGAGGTAGGAGAATTGGTTTTCATGTAAAGAATATTTAGGATATGGAATGCCTCACTGGGACCAGTGATCAAGACAGAATTCAGATTAGCTTTCAAGAGGGAACTAGATAAATATCTCAAAACAAGTAAACTTCAGGGGTACGGGGGAAAGCACAGGTAAATGGGACTGAAAGGATTGCTATTAAAAGAGCCGGAACAGACACAGTGGGCAGAAAGGCCTTCTGTGCTGTAAATTTCTAATGTTTATCCCAGCAAGAATGACCGCGTGCTAAAGAGGAGATAACTTTGGTGCAGGAGAAGAGAAAGAACAGCGTAAGAGAGAGAAACGATAGCTTGTTGAGCGACAACGTGGTTTCATTGTGTATTTCCAGGCACGGTTGACAAAGGACCAGCGATGTGGGAGTATGTTACTGTCCCGGAACGAGTCTTTGGAGGAAGAGTTTGAAAGAGCAAAAGCAGCAGTCGAGGTGTCTGAAATTTTCTCAATTTTCTCTTTTCCCCCGGGACCACAATAATAAACATGAGGCGACAAACCTGTTCGCGGTCGTAAGCTGAAAGAGACGCCAGAGTCTGATTTGCAGAACCCTCAGAAATGACTTAATAAGAAGTGTGTAATTATCAGACATGTTGAGGAATGGATTGGGTTTCAGGTCAGTTTATTCCTGGCGTGTTTTTTGCGGGTAATTCCACTACCATTTGGGAAGCGGAGATCATTATTTAAGAAAGGTGGGAGAGAAAAGATGGGGAACTATAGACCAGTTAGTCTGACATCAGTGGTAGGGAAAATTCTTGAGTCCTCAATTAAGGATGTTGTTATGGGATTCCTGGAAGACCATAACAAGATTAGGTAGAGTCAACATGGCTTTACAAAAGGGAAGTCATGCTTAACTAATCTTTTAGAGTTTTTTTGAAGTTGTATCTAGTTGGTTAGATAGGAGGGAACTAGTAGATGTCCACAAATATACAGTCAATTCACTTTAGTCTATTCTGTGAAGCGCTTTGAGATGTCGAGAAGATGTGAAAAGTGCTATTTCAAATGCAAGGATTATTATAGATGTAGTATATTTAGATTTTAAGAAGGCATTTGACAAAGTGCCACACAAAAGGCTATTGCACACGTTAAGGCCCATGGGATTAATGGGAACATATTAGCACGGATTGAAGAGTAGCTAACAGGTAGAAAACAGAGAGTAGGGATAAATGGGTCATTCTCGAATTGGCAGGATGTGACTAGTGGAGTCCACAAGGATCAGTGTTTGGGCCTCAGCTATTTACAATTTACATCAATGATCCGGACGAGGACATTGAATGTAACATATCTAAATTCGTGGGTGACACTAAACTCGGTGGGAGAGTAAGCTCTGAGGATGATGCAAAAAGACTGCAACGGGATATAGATAGGCTCGGGGAGTAGGTGGCAGATGGAATTTAATGTGGGGAAGTGTGAAGTTATTCACCTAAGTAGAAAAAATAGAAAAACAGATTATTTTCTAGAGGGGGAGAGATTAGATAGTGTTAGTGTTCAGAGGGATTTGGGTGTCCTTGTACACCAGTCTCAAAACGTTAGTTTGCAGGTGCAGCAGCAACTAAGAAGGCGAACGGCAGTTAGCGTTCATTGCAAAAGGTTTAGAGTACAAGAGTAGGGAAGTCTTGCTGCAGCTGCATAGGGCTTTGGTGAGACTGCACCGAGAGTATTGTGTGCAGTTTTGGTTTCCTTATTTAAAAAAGGACATACTTGCCCTCGAGGGGGTGCAGCGTAGATTCACTCGGTTGGTTCCTGGGATGAGGGGACTGACCTATGAGGATAGGCTGAATAAACTAGGGCTATATTCTCTAGAGTACAGAAGAATTAGGGGAGATCTTATTGAAATATATCAGATTCTTAAAGGGCTGATAAAGTAGACACTGAGGATCTGTTTTCCCCGGTAGGAGAATCTATAACCAGGGGTCACAGTCTTAAAATTAAGGGTCAGCCTCTTAGAACAGTTGAGGAAACATTTCTTCACTCAGAGGATAGTGAATTTATGGAATTCACTACCCCAGAAGAACATTTTCAAGGCTGAGACTGATAGATTTTTTAAAAATAGAGGGATTAGGGGATATGGGGATAGGGCAGGTAAATGGAGTTAGGTCAGAAGATCAGCCATGATCTTATTGAATGGCGGGGCACAGGCTCGAGAGGCCGAATGGCCTACTCCTGCTCCTAATTCTTATGTTTTTATTTAAAAAACATGGCTCACACACGTATGAACATCTTCATGTCATTGAGATACTTAAATAACATTTAAGCACCTCATCACATTGTCTCTAAATGTTCACAGGACTTCACTATAAAGTATAATTTGACTGGATTTTGTAGGCGAACGCAGAAGCCAATGATAGCAACATCCCACAAACAGCCATGAAGTAAGGACCCTAGTCTGTGAGGGGGAGGACCCCAGTATGTGAGGATTGGGAGGGTGACTCCAGTCACTACCCCAATGTAAAAGCTGTGCTGTTGGAGCTCAAGTAAAAGCTATTCCCAGGAATTGTGCAAAGAGTATTTTAAAGTTGTGTTAAAGGGAACAAACGGTTAAAATTGGATGGATTGTTTTTGTTATTTCTTACTTCGTTCAAGCATGTTTAATGGCCAGCCCAAGGCATTGTAGCTACATTCAGGTCTTTAAATATGAATAAAGTAGATTTTACAGCTCTCTCGTGCTTGGCTGAATGTGCTATTTTAGATCCGATTTTTTTAAAAAAATCTAATGGCTGAGATTTTTAATAAATATTTAAAACCGAGGGAGAATAAATATTTATACCGATATGTAACCTGTTCCACCTGATTGGCTCTATGGAGATAATTCCCTTTGTCTCACAGAATTGAAGGAAGATAACAATGACAATGATTTTACGTTAATATGTCAGGAGGACAACTCAAAGTTTCAAACGATCAACTTGGAGAGTAGCTCAAGACGGGTGGGAGAGAAAGGATACTGTGTTTATCATAAATTTAAAGATGCGATAAGGTTTCTACATTGAGATTCTACCCTGTGTTAAGGGCGTTGTAAAAATGCAACCTGTTGTTGTGGTAACACCAATTTTTTTTCAAAGCTGCACTTTGTCTCAAATCTTACCAGATCAAATAATGCAAAACCAAATGCTTTCAATGAAAACATGCACCTGTAGCTTGTTAAACAAACGTTTTCTCTCCCCCCAGCATCCATGACCTGTATTATACCAATCGTATCAGTTGCTCAACATTTGAGTAGAAGGCTCTTAATCAGACTCTTTGCCCATTTCAGTTAGACCTTCACCATTTTAGTGTTGGTAACATAGTACAATGGGAGAAGGGGGCAGTGGGGAAGAAAGTTGACGGCTACCAAATCCATATAGATGTGCGGTAAATTCAACACTCTTCATAGTTAGTCAGCTATTCTGGCTCATCCGTAATTGAACTAATTGAGTCAATGCACTAACAGGCAAGGGCAGTCCTCATGTGGGGGACTAGTGTCGGGAGACACAAACTAACATTTTATGTGTTCTAACAAATGCAAGCATTATTATTTGTTTTGGCAAACCACATACTTATTACTGTGTTGTTCATGTTTCAGATGCAACTTGTAAAAAAAATGCAAAACGTAAATTGTATTGTAACTCATTGAGGACGTATTAAAAATCAATCTTACAGTCTGACACAGAATTTTGGGATAAGATGCAAGTTGAATGGGAAGAAATGGCTCGCAGGAACTGGCTCGCAGGAAGTCAACCACCAGAAAAAGCTGCCATCTCTCCCCACGAGAAGGTAATCACATAAAGCAACCTGCCAGAGGAGCTTGATGTCAATCACAGCTTGTGGCCCAATTGTCTGCGATCAGTAGTTAATAATTATATATTGGTGTGTGTATAAATATATAATATACATACATGATTCTGTCCTTGACTGATGTCCACCTTCCAGTAGGATCTCTGGCTAAGGATCAGGAGGAGGAATCCTGACTGATTTTTTTTCTCCTTCCTAACCAAGGGCCCTGAAGCCACTTACACCTTCAGATAACTAACGCATTGGAACCTGGGACTTTCTGGTCTGTCATAGTAAAACTCACACAAGTCCAATCTGTCTAAATCGTATACCTGTCTAAATCGTACATCTGCTCTGTTGCATTTCCTATTATTTGCCCAGATTCCATCTCAAGCTGCAGGTGAATTTGGGACATTTTCTCTCAAGAAAGATCCAAATGAGATTATAATATCAGACAAACGTATAATGGACGGAAGGCACATAGTGGTTTCTCACAATGGGGAGGGAAAGATGAAAACGTACATTGCTGAATTGTTGACAAAATAATCCAGCTATTGTTCCCGGGGATGTACTTTACACTGACTGGAAATCATATAAAACAGACAGAACAGACCAGTCAATCTCTAGGTATGAAGAGAGGAGCAGCTGCAGGATGTTTGCGGCTTTGCACATGTAATATGTTTTGATCATTGTTGCCTGCAGGGCTATTATTTTCACACCGATAATCCCTTCAGAGACTGGCCCAACGCCTTTGAGGAAGCAACAAAAAAGCAGAAAGAGGGAGATTTGCCCAATGCAGTCTTATTGTTAGAATCGGCCATTTTGCAAGATCCCCATGACGCAGAGGTAAGGTGGCACAAAACTCCCGTCATAAACAAGTCAATAGCAAAAGGTACCAACAAACACAATGTCATTTTAAATAAGAATTAGCTTTGACGTCCTCCCAATGTAAAACAACACAACAACAACATGCATTTATATAGCACCCTTCACACGGGGTAGACCTAGAGCACTTTAATCCTGTGAAGAGCTTTGAGACATTGACGAAATAAGGCACTATATCAAATGCAATGATTATAATAAAAATGTGAAAATATTTAAAACTAGTATGCATGTTTTTCAGTGAACACAAACACTAGGGATGATTATAGACACATTTTTTTAAAATTAAAAACCCTGCTGATAAATAGCTCAAAGCAGAATTTGTGTAGGAGCTAATTTATTTTCCACCAAACTAAAATTGACACTTTGCCCTCACAGGTTGCAGAACTTATTGATTCATCAATAAAAAATCTGAAAAACAACTTGATCTGTCGACCTGTGTGGAAATGCCATTAACAGCTTGTGATGCCAATGATCCCTTGCACCTCAGCTCCACAAACTTTCAACCTTAACATTAGTCTCAAAACAAAAACAAAGCGCTTGGAATTATGATTTCTGCTACTCAGCGACGTGCTGTTTTGGGTTCTGACCTGTTCAACTTGCAATGGCTCAATGCTGCCTGATTTCACCAACACTGTTTGCCTCCAATGATTCTTCAAATGCGACTATTATTATTGTTATTAATTTAACTCGTTCGTGCATCAAGAAATTGAGAAACCCTGAGACATCTGCAATTAAGTAAAAGTGAGCTTTTCAGAAAGCACTGACTTCTTCTCATTTGCGCCCCCTGTGATACCAACAACAACTTGCGTTTATATAGCGCCCCCTCATGCCATAGTGTAGACACTTGCTTCTGTGGCTTTTTCACACTGATCATGTTGTTGTTGTTGTTTTGTGGGCAGGCCTGGCAGTACTTGGGCACAACTCAAGCGGAGAATGAAAACGAACAATCTGCCATCGTTGCTCTCCAGAGGTACGATTTGGGGCTGTTTTTACGAGCTCTCATATATTGGTCATTTTGTTCAGTCTTCCTCCCCGCCGGAGAGTTTGAGGGTTCATAATGTATCTAGTTTTGCTGGGAAGAGTTTGCTCTTCTAGAAATCGCTTGTACCCCCCCTTTGCCCCCACATTTGTTCCTCGTCGTGCACAATTTGTAATGCTGAGATGAGGTTATAGCCACACCAGCAAGAGCAACCTTCATTCCTGTGTTCAGGTGCCTCGAGCTGCAGTCCTACAATCTGGTGGCCCTGATGGCACTGGCGGTCAGTCTGACCAACACCGGCTTACAGCAGGACGCCTGCGACGCCCTCAAAAACTGGATCCGACACAACCCCAAGTACAAGTACTTAATCAGGGGCAAAACCGGGTCACCGGCCCCCGGGAGGAAGAAAGACAGAGAAGCGAGCGCCAGGTAAACGGGAAAAGGCATTTCATTTAGCCACGATTGTCAAACTATTTCTACCACCTTCAAGATCCCATTGCACTATTTTATTCAAAAAAGTGAGAGTTTTTCCCTCCAACTGCCGAGCTTAATAATTCTACAGATAAACTGGTCCTTCGCTCCACACTCTGTTTGTGCATTTGATTATTTCTCTGCAAATTGGCTGCTGTGTTTTTCCCACAAATAGACACTTGACAGCAACTTGACAAGTAATACTTGTCTACAAAATATACCGTCACTTAGGCTTTACAGGAAAATCATGTGCAGCATTTTGAAATGTAATTCCAACGTGAAAGCTCCCACATTAAATGCAAGTATTATTATCACCAGTGCCTGAGAATCACTTTGAGATGTTGCAGTGTTAAGTGCGCTCTATAAAAATCAAGGATTATTATTGTAGAAAAAATAATATGGATACAAAAACAACAGCTTACATTTGTGTAGCAAAAACAGAAGTGGCTGGGAACACTCAGCAGGTCAGGCAGCATCTATGGAGAAAGGAAAGTGAGTCAACGTTTCGGGTCCACAACCCTTCGTCAGAACTGGGGCACATTGGGAGGGAGAGGCTTTATTATATTCGTGTCGTGCCTTTCAAAGCACTGGGACACATTGGGTTTGTTTTACAGTTGTAGGTATTTGTGTAATATAGGTCCTATGTCCTCATTACCTGCCTATTTAGGCCACTCTGTCATTGTACATATTCTTCCAGCTCGTTACTAACTGAAGTGAAAGGCTTGTTTTTGGAGGCCGTCCGTCAAACTCCGGACATGATAGACCCAGATCTGCAGACCGGACTCGGGGTACTCTTCAACCTCAGTGGGGAATACGATCGAGCTGTTGATGCCTTCAACTGTGCGCTGACCATCAGGCCACAGGTAACGCCCGACACCACTCACAGACTTGCCCGCCTTAATCACCCACCGCAATCACTGAGAAGATGTTGTGTTGGGTTCAGAATACACCACTTATTTTTCCCAAGTTGCTCATCTCCTCCCACCTTCAAGAGAGAAAATAATCACATAGAAGATGGCTTCCCTCTCCCTCACTTAACTCTTGTTCCACGCTTGTAACTATCTTTTAAGTACCAAGGCAGCAGGAAAAGGGATTAATTCTGTCTAGAATTGATCGGTGTGAACTCCAGTTTGTGCTGCAGTTTAAGATTCCACACAAGCCCCCACCTCGCCTATTCCCCTCACCCCTACCCCTCTATCCCCTTCTCCTTCATGAATGAAAATACATATACCACCTTCAAGTGAAAATGTCCCCAGGTCAGGAATATAACACACACTCTCTCTCTGCTGTATGTTGAAGTACAATCTATGGTTTGAGAGGAAAGCTTGCAAGTGGATTATCTGGTCCTTAGAGCAAAAAAAAACAACATTCACTCCAAAAAAAAATTCAGCAAGTTCTGTCAGGTTTTGAGAAACACAGTAAATTACAGTATATTCTGTGAAACGCTTTAATTCGTCTGAATGATGTGATAAGGTGCTATATCAAATGCAAGGATTATTATTAAATAAATAAATCATTTTACATTAAGGATTACTTGTTGTGGAATCGGCTGGGAGCCACTTTGGCTAACGGTGACCGGAGCGAGGAGGCTGTTGAGGCTTACCAGAGGGCGTTGGAAATCCAGCCGGGTTTCATCCGCTCGAGGTACAATCTAGGAATCACTTGCATCAACCTGGGAGCTTACAGGTAAGGGACACAATGTGTAATAAGCTCAGGGATGGGTTTCTGCCCTTGTCATAAACCCGGCTGATCAGATAAAAATAATCTAGGGGGTTTGAATAGTTCCAGGAGACAGGTGGAATATGTCCCCTCTTTTTCCCCTCTCCCCACTTTGAGCATCCACTTTCAAATTCAAAAGGTATAGCACAGGCATTTTATATATAAAAAATTAAAAATGCTTTCCCAAGGGAATCTTTTTTAAACCTATGTAATGAAAGTTAACCTTGCATGATATTCTTCCAGTACCACTCCCCTCTGTTGCAATTTATTTAACATAAATTAAAAACATTGCCAGAAGCAATCAAGCAAGAATATCCCCAAACTCACATCAATGCTCAGGAAAGGACAGCAAACACTGTCATCAAATACAAGCATTGCATCAAATGTGAGGACTGTTATTAAAAAAAACGAGCAAGAGGCAGAAATCTTAATACAAATCTGTTGTCCACAGACATTGGGCAGATGTGGAAACTCCAATAAATGTGTTCAAGAAGCTATTTTTTTCTTCACTAGCTGCACATTGCAGATGGGTGAGACTAACCTGCTTGCTCAGGAGGAAACTTGTTTGTCGAAGCTATAGCTTCTTCTTCATAATGAACAACGAGTATAAATTAAGTAACATTCACAGTTTTTGAAGGCATTGCTTCTAACCTTTAATTACAATTTACGTTTAAAAAAAATGTAAAAATTAATATGGTCACTCAATTCATGACTGTTTGTGGGACACTGCTGTGCTCAACTAATTGGCTGCTACATTTCGCCGACAATATATACAGTCAATTCACTTCACGGTAAAGCGCTTTGAGACGTTTTGAAGACGTGATAAGGCACTATATCAAATGCAAGAATCATCATCATCATTTTTGTTTTAAAAAAGGGTCATTTGACTTGTATTCTGTTGGGAATGATTGTCTAGGATACATGTGAAGAATTTATGTTACCGTCACTCCATTCGCACAATGCAACATTACTCTCTATCTTTCTAACCTAAAAGTAAAATGTGTGAACAAATTACTGACATTTACTTTCAAAGTAGAATACCTCACCTTTTCAGCCGAGAATTAGATTTGTAAATACTGCAGCAACCAATATCTTGTATATATTGTAATTATGTAATCATGTAATTACTTCCTTCATACCTCATTACAGAGTATTAAATCTTGGGCTATTCCCATATCAACTGTTAATACGATACCTGAATAAATCATTGCATTAATATAGAGATGACTGAAGGGAGACCTATTTAAGATTATGAAGAGTTTGGGACGATTTGGATGAAGATAAGTTTTTTGCTACATTACAAAATTTAACAAACCGGTGGTGGGGGGTGTGGGGGGACGAGTGTCATAGTTTCAAATAAGCGCCACAAAGGAGAATAGGAATTGCATTTGACATTGATTTTAGTGAAAGGACGATAGGTAGGTGGAGAATGATCACAAGTATAGTTGGTGAAAGAAGAACTAATGGTTTTCAACATGGAACAAAGTCAACAGAAAGGATTCTTGGTTTTGGATTTAGAGGCAAATACAATGAAGGAACTTGTTGAATAATTGGGATGGATGGTCTTGTAGACTGATAGCCGACCCTCCCCTGATGTTGTTGCTACCTTCACTATTCTCTGGATAACCATGTGTTTGTTCAGCCACCTTACTGCTCAGATGTACAGTTGATTTTTTTAATCATACGCATGGGAGTATGTTTTGCACATACAACAACAATGACTTGAGTTTATATAGCGCCCTTCACACAGGGTAGCACCCCAGAGCAGTTAAATGCACATTGTAACCGTTGGAATTATTTTCGAAGTTCACAAGTTACCATCAGCACAAGGTAGTCACACTGAGACATGGTGGGGATTCTCCACAAACAAGACAAGAGATGCCAAGACTTCTCCTGGAGACTGGAGCACTAGCAACAGGTTAGAAACAGAGAGAGGAGAAAAACAAGTAGACACACATGGACTGAGACACACAGATAAAGAAACAAAAGAGAGGCAGACAAGACAGGAGTAGGCACAGTGCAGTAGGTCAGTGAGAGCATAACTACTGATGGAAGCGCTTTTGGTTCATAACAATACTTTATATTGATGACCTGATAACCGTCCTGTTTTCATGTCCACAATGTCCCAGTTAGTGCAGGTACAGGCCTCTCTATGGCAGTTACCATTGGAGCCATTAGATAAGTCTGGCAGATGTGGTCTGCCTATAGTCCGATAATATAATCAGCTATCAAAATCTGCACCGGACCATTTGGCATTTAACTATTGATGTGTACAAGGATGTTAATAAGATTAACAAATGAAAATGTTTTTTTTCTGTCCTGTATTGTGGAACAGAGAAGCAGTCAGCAATTTCCTCATAGCTCTGAACCTGCAGAGGAAGAGCAGGAGCACACAGTTCTGTCATCGAGTCATCTCCGGCAGCATCTGGTCAGCTCTCAGGATAGCCCTGTCGCTCATGGAGCAGCCAGAGTTCTTCCAAGCAGCAAATGTCGGGGATCTGGACACCTTAATGAGAGCCTTTAATATGGACTGATCCGCATTTGGATCCACATTAATGTTGTACATGATACGAAAGGTAGGGATTTCTGTGTACATTTAGAATACTATATATATACATATCAAGATTTTTATGATCACTTTATAGCAAGATTTTCATGGGGGAATATTTGACCCATTTTCAGAATGTTATGCAGTGGTTTCAGCCTTTGCTGGTAACTCATGGACTAAACTGGACGTTGATACATTGCAGAATAGATTCATTCACTGCTGATTATTGTATGAGAATACATGGTACTGTTTGAGTTGGTACAGCCCTTTTTTTCAGCGCTTTGTAAGATGCAATCAAGAAAATACATCGATTATATTCTTTAAAGAAAAAATACTTATAAAGAGTACAGTATACAATATAATACAATTACAATGATCTCTGCAAAGCTAATCTTTTTTTGAAGCATTATAAATTCTGGACATCTTTATTTCCTTGATTTGTTCTTACATTTCTGCCCAAAGGATGGATTGTTCATAGTTTCCGCATCTGCACTAAAGGATGCACTGCAGTCAGATACAAGGTCAACATTTTGAAGGATTAATCAAGTGGTCGGTTTTCCATCTCCCCTCAAGTTAGAACAGATTTTAAAAAGGTTTTACATTTTTAGTGAAAGGACTTTTTTTTTGCCTTTGTGTTTAACATACACTGCACTGTTATCAATTGGGTTTGGAGTTTTTACTGTTTGAATTTTTCAGGAGGTGGTTAGCGTTGATAAATTTTCTGGCATTTTCCTTGAGGTTACTTCAGGCATTATACATGCCATTGTCACCAGAATTAAAACAGAATTGCAATCATTCAATGTCAATACAAATGGCAGCAAAAGACATTGAATTTACTGATCAGCTTTAAAGAGAAGAGGAGACTTCACCAATTTACAACAATATTGTCCAATGCTCTGAAGGTTCCATTTTATTATTTAAAGCGCACAGGAATAAACGGTTTCAGGATTGATGTATTTAAATACAGCGTGATACTACAGTGTAGACCAATCATCACTGCTTTGGCAAATGCAGGGTTCTGGTGGGATTAACAAGATACTTTGTACTGAAAGAATCAGAGCATTAGTGACATCTCAATACACGTTAGGCAATCTGTCAATACAGGTGACAGAAACACATTGGTGTGGTTGTGGGTAAACCAACACTGCCTCTCTCCTGTAGCCATTCCAAGCAGCTTTCTCAGCAAATGTCCCCCAGTCTGTGCTCACATATCCCCTCTTTCTCTTCTGTTCCAATCTGGAGGTCTTTACTTTGTTACATCTGCCTTTTATTCTTAAACACGATATACTTCAGGGTGCGCGTGTACCTTTACTGCATTCCTTTGCGTGGGAACCAACCACTAAAGCCAGAGTTTAAAAGCATAAATTGGCGTAGATAGCAAATATATATATATATACACACACACACAGTATAGCAATAGATATGCTTATCTCCCTTTGGCATTGAATCACTTTGGTTATGTTAAAACCATAATCTACACTTAGATTTTAGTCCAAGTGACAAATAAACATAACTTTTAATTCAGATTATGGAAAGTTGGGCAAATCTTCCTGTTAACCCTGCAAGCCAAAGCCTTAACAGGTAGAAAGGTCCCAGCTGGATAAGCAGCAGGAAAGCTTGTCAGACAGCTTTTCTACAGGTTGTTTTTTTCAAGTAACCATTGTGTTTAACGTCTCAATTCTCACAACAGCTATTTACGATACAATAATCTCTGAAAGTTCAATATTGTATTTTACTTTCAGGTGGAATAACGTTTCTTAACAGCACAGCAATTAAATAGAAAACAGCATTTGAGAGAGTGCATCGAGTGTGTGTTCACTTGTGCCTTTGCTGCTTGTGAGTTTAGAGATCTTCCCACAATCCTGAATGAGCAGTCATAACACATAGTCACTATTTCAGTGCCCTGTATTTATGCAAGTAACACTGTTAACACTTCTGTTATACATATAAATCAAATCTATACTGGTTATATAATTTTTTTATCAACAAGAGCAATCAGCTGGCATTTTGGCATCTTTATCATAAATATGTTTTTTTTTAAACTCTCCTACATTTCTGGTTTAAGAGTAATTAGTTGAGTTGATGCCATAGACAATCATCTCTCTGGCTGTTGACTAAGATGCTTTAGCTGTACATTCCTCTGTGCATCTCCCCAAACTTCTGATGGACAATCACAAACATCCATAGTTGTAAGAATCACCTTATTCATGTTAGATTGAAAATGCTGCACAGAATTAGAGCTAATACATGTTGATGGTTGGAGTTGATCCTGACTCCATGGCTGGCAATAAACACATTACTTTGTCTATATTTGTTTGGGGGGGGGGGGGGGGGATGGAGAGGGGATGGGTCATTTTTTTCTAGATGTTTCCTAATTCTAAAATACTGAACCACAATCATAGTCTTTTTTTCCTCTATATCCTTATACTGTTTAAGATGAAGTTATTAGCATGACTGCACACGCAGCAATTTACAACTCATTTTTCTTCACAATTTGTTTCCATTTGGGAACTATTCTTAAGAAATGAACTGTGTAGTTCTGAGGGACTTTGTACATTTGGTGATGAATTCACTGGAGAACGGAACAATGATTTACAACAATTTAGTTGTACTGATACTTATATTGAGGCTTGGGCACCCAGTGTGTAATGTGATGTGTACAGAACGGGAACAGGATTATAGTTATTTAAATAAAGAATTAGAAGATACAAAGTATTCTGTTGGCCCCGCTCTTTTACATAAAACACTTCCTCTCCAACAGGTTTAGTCGCAGATATTCCGGGTACGACCGACAGTAAAACCTTCAAATAGAGACCATTGATCTCAAATTACTAGCTGTGCAACATTGCTGCTCCCTGTGAGGTCTCCGTCCAGCATTGGTTCATCATAGCTCCAGAGCGCATCCTGAATCCTTATAGTAGAGGCCAATACAATAGCTCTAAGTTCCTCACACCAACCCTTACACTGTCTGCAACATCTCCCCTTACACTAACCCTTACACAGTGCGTCCATCTCTGCAAACTCTCCCCGTTTTAACATTTGAATAAATTCTATTCCACTTGTGTAATCCTTAGAGCACCATTATACCACATTATAAAACTTTTGTCAGCAGGTTACCAACCAATAAAATTTGAACGAGGACCCAAGACCGACTTTTCAACAACAATTTATTGAACTATTCCAGTGCTGTGCACATGCAGCATTGGGCAAAATTGTGCACCAAAGTTTTCCAATAATTTCCAATTACATGAGTCTGGGTTACACAGAGTGGGATCTGATAACAGCAGCATTTCCGAGCAATATCCCAAGATCACCCCAAATGCTGCAAGTTTACAGATCAGCGAGGCCCAAGGTGGCAAAGTGAAGGACATTGAGAACAAACAAAGATTGTTTCTTAAATTTTCACATCAACCAAATTGCAGTGTCATCCTCTGCAGGAGAGTGAGAGCCTGGCCTGGGGAGGGGAGTTAAGAGGCAACAAAGAAGTGCAGACATTCTCAGCTCTGATGCTGGTTATTTCCACATCAAACATTACACATTCTCTCGCTTCTCAATAGAAACCGAAAGACCACCCCCCACACACTAGACCCACACCCACACAAACACACCACCCACCCAGGTTTCTGATGAGCCTTGAGTTCCTGACTGTACTGAAAGGGTTGCTAATGTCACCTGCCACCATGTGTCAGTGACTCTGTAACTCGCCATTACTGACTAACATTACGATGAAGATTTACTTACGAAAACAAGACGAAAGACGATGATGTTGATCTTGAGAGGAACAAAGGTCCCTGGGGTTTGGCCGCTGCTTATTTGGGGGCCACAAGAATCACAACTGCTACAAGTTGGGAGGTAAGTCAAACCCTTAAGAATATCAATAGCACCTTTGACCAGACATGGTCAGTTAGTTAGACCCTTTGTAAGGACCATCCTTATATATCTTTGGTTATAAACACTTTCTTTAAATAGTTCTCTAAACAATGGAGAATGGTAGGATCCCCCCCCCACACACACTCATTGCCTCCCACACACATTCCCTGCACAACCCTTATATGCCACAGTCAAAGACAGTCCTTGCCTTGTTGTTTCCCTTTAACTTGATCATTTTAGATTGAGATCCTCAGGTTAGGATCAGAGGCTGTTGAGAATGTGGACCTCATTGCCAGCAGCTGTGATTGAAGCAATTAGCATCAGTGTATTTAAGAAAAACTTGATGCAATCGTGACGGAGAAGGGAATAGGAGAATCATGTGGAGAATAAACAGACGAGTTGGGCCAAATACTGGATCACTTTATGTAACTCAAGAAATGTAATATTGCAGTTACTTAAGAAAACAAAATGGTGGTGGGGAGGGGATTGGTTTGAGTGTTGCAGTATAATACGTTTACAAAAATCTTAAAATCTATCTATCACCTTTAAAATCTCAATCCAGTTATTGGCATGAGTTCACATTACAAAACTCTAAGCAGTCTTCATGCGTAAGAGTTTATGTTTGGGCATCATGGAGCTTGGAGATGTTGGTGGTATTTCAGATTAGATGGTAAATCACTGATTTATTCTACAGCAATACAGAACCTTAACATGGCTTAAAAACCTCAAACTGCGCCAGTCTGTGTTTTGTTATAATTTAATTCTTCCCGTTGATTGTCTTCAATGGGAAATGGTGAAACACCACTACAGATCGAGAGATCTTAATAATGACCTCAGGCTTGTCAGACCCGGGCAGGTTTCTGTGCAGTATTTATTGCAGAGTATTTCTGGCAATCTGAGCTTCATTACTGTGCAGTAGTTGGGGCCTGGCTCTGAGCCTGTGGGGATGGGAAGGTTTTGCTATTGGCTAAATGGCCAGTCACACTTCAATGTTCTTCACAGAGACTCCGCTCAATGACACCAGATTTGCAGAAGGATTGTCTATATTCAGGAACACGTGATTCTAGATTTAATGATTGAATAGCACAACCTACACACTCCTGATCCGAGAGCGTTGGCATCAGCACCGAGTCACGGATTGCGCATATTTACAATCTGACTTAATCATTGAGGTGTGTCTCAAAATCTAGTTGGAGCGGAACACAATAACACTCCCGTTTAGGAGCTCAAAGCCCAAAGCAAGGGTTTGTCTGTAAAAGATAAAGGCCTGCTGTGTTTTATGCACCGAACATTCAGAAAACAAAAAATGACAATAACTCAACAAGTGAGGCTAAAATAAGAGGGAACCGGCAGAGTGACACAAAGGGAAAGAAGTGAACTCATTTTGATGTGTGAGACAGTGCTTAAAAGTGATTGCACACACTCCGATACGTTTCTTCAGCTTCGCTAAAGATGCTGCTTTGAAATAAAAACAACAAATAATAATATAAACGATAAAAATCATCCCTCTTATGTCAGGCATCATATTCCATTTTAGCTTTGTTTTCTATAAATAAGGTATTTGCAGTAAATCAGGGATCCAGTCTCTCCCCCTGAGCTCTGACAGTTTGTAGTGTTTGTGCTGCTCTTTGGGAAGAGCCAAGGCCACGGCTGTCAATCACAGGTCTGGGTACTAGAAGGCCAGGCGCTGGTAGAAGTAGATGTATCCCAGGTCTTTCGGAGGTTTCTCTGAGGCACAGACTTTGTGATCGTTGTAGAGAACCCACCTGCAATACATAATAATCTCTGCAATCAGCATTCAGTAAAACTCGCATAAATCTATTCTGTATAAATTATACAATCGCCTAAATCCCATTCAAGAGTTTATATTCTAACGAAGTTTGACACAACTCATACTTTCCATAAATCATATTAAATGTCTGATCCCAACTGATACAACATATGTGAGGTTTACTGCAGTGTTTTATCACATGTCGAAATGTTTCAAAGTGCTTTACAGACTTACTGTAGTAGAGTGTAGTGACTGTATTTTGTGTAGGCGAATGCAACAGCCAATTTTTATATGGGGGGTAGGGGTGGTGATGGGGAAGGGGGGAGGGTGTTGGTGAGAAAGAGGGATATTTGACCAGGAACGGTATAGCACGTATTGAATAGTGTATAGCACCACAGCATCTTTAACATCCACTTGAACAGGCGGATAGGACCTTGGGTTAATGTCTGATCTGAATGATGGTCTGTGATCCTCCAGAACTGCACTGGGGTATCAGCCCAAAGTGGGGATTGAGTCACAACCTTCTGACTTCTGGCGAGAGAACTATCACCTGAGCCAGGCTACAGCGTCAGATCCAGAAGGTATTCCTACTAAAGTCCCAGTGAAAGAAACACTATGAGATTCATCTTGCATTAAATACAGCTTAGAATGTAGCAAATAAAAAAAATCCTGAATAAAAGCCATCTCAGCCCACGGTACAGTCTGTAACATCAATCCAATAAACCAGCTCTTACCTTCCCTCTTTTTTGATATGGCAAACATAATGGCCAGACATTGTGGATGTTCCCATATGGCTAATAAAGGCAAAGAGCTCATATCCTGCAGATAAACACAACTTGATTCAATTACATGTCAATACGGCAGTCACATTCTGTTAGACATTACTCTATCACTGAAGACAGAGAGAGAAAAAATCCATCTAAAACCCAGGCTCTAAACAGAAACCTTACACATGTGGAACTCTCAGAAGTTTGGTCTGGAGACTCTTTGACCTAAACAACAACACAAAATGTATTGGTGCTTTATCACATAAAAAATTTGCTCAAATAACAAAAACGTTTAGAGGAATTGTATTTTACTGGAGAATCCAGCCAAGTGAATGACTATCAGCTTCGATCAGTATTTTGTAAAGCACAGAAAACTGGCTGACCTACACATTACAATGTTATCATCAAATATTATACAATGCAATATTCCTGATTGTTACACAAGAAATCAACATGGAGGTCAATCAGCCGATTAACTAACTACATGAAAAGCACAATACAGATAGTTGTTGTTGGATCTTACGGAGTGATGTTGCAGACATTTGTGGAGATTGAGGATTGTCCTAAATCTTCAGGAATAGGTTAGTTCACCTCTGAGGACACCTCAGCTCTCAGCTACTTACTTGCAGGTCCATCCCTGATTCTGGGCCCTGCAGGTTCTGCCTCTGCTTCTGCATTGACATTGGTCTCTGTATCAGACGCTACTTCACTCTCCTCCTCACTGTCCGCGTGTGTGAAGATCCAGTCCAGTGCTCGCTCCAGGTTATTATTCTGCCGAGACACATTCCCAGGGGTCACATCTGCCATCACCTCAAACCTACTGAGCCCTTCAGTAGTCACCCTGGTCACACCCACATCACACAAACAGCTGGCACTATATTTGAGTGAATTAATGATTTGAAATCCATTATAAATAATAATAATCTTTGCAGTTGTGCAACGATTGCTTTCTCGCGTGATTGAGATACCTCAAAGAGCTTCACAGAAATAATTCTCACTGAAATAGCAACAGCATGTATTTATATAGCACGCTTCATGCAGGATAGAGTCTGTAATCAGACAGAAGAGGAACTCACAGTTGATTTCAAGGCTTGAATAGCGAGGTTCCTGGAGAATCCCATGGATGTGATAATGGCAACAATCTCCTCTGGCGGCTGTTTCTCTACGGCAGAGGCTCCTCCAGCCAGGCCCACCTCTGGGAGAGAAGCTTCATTATATCCCAATAGCGACAGCGGCTCAGCAAAATCTGGTGGAGAAGAGGTTTTGTTCAAAAAATATCTACAAAAATCTTAGTTTAGGAAATCAATGTACGTTTGTCATTGTGAACAACCATGTGTCTGTAGTGCCCTCTGCTGGGCTGATCCTAGTACTGCAACTCCTTGTTACTGCATCTTCAAAAGTAATAATAAACCTTACATTTGATACAGCACCTGATCACGTTGTTGAGACTTCTCAAAGCACTTCACAGAATATACTGCAAAGTGAATTGACTGTACATTTTGTGGGTGAAACGTGGCAGCACAAACAGTCGTAGATTGAGTGATCCTCAAGCACACGGAAAAAAGTGTTTTTTTTTAAAGATATTATTACCCCAGGAAAAGTCTAGGTTTTTGATGTTCAGTGCAATTTAATATGTAAATTTAACTCAGTGCAGGCTTAATATGTTTTCAAAACTTGAGATTGCTTTGTGCATTTTAAAAAACGGCTTCTGCAGCTATTCTGTGAAGCGCTTTGAGATGTCTTAATGACGTGATAAGACCTTCCTCACAGCAAAGACTTCAATTACTGTGGTCTAACTTTGCGATATATCTTCACAGGTTTCTTTAATCCAGGAGCAGATCATATGAGAGAGGTGATCTCACAAGTCAGTCACTCGATATATTTGCTGTTGGTTAGTGTACTGTTTCCTGGACTGATTCCTTAAGGAACCAACAAAGAGACATTATGCCACTCAATCCACGACTGTTTGTGGGACACAGCTGTGGCAATTGGCTGCCGCGTTTCACCCACAAAATACAAGTTACAATATATTCTGTGAAGCGCTTTGAGATGTCTCAATGACGTGATAAGATGCTTTCTCAAACGCAAGGATTATTATTTTCGTAGTGAGTGAATGTCACCTTAGGAATTGTATCAGTGGCTAAAGTAAAAATGGAAGAGAAATGGGGAAAATCAGGCTCCCAAATCATCTGATCTTACCAGGTTCTTCCATGTGTGCAATGATCCAGTTAAAGGCCACCTCAGCCCCCATGCTGCCCGTATAGTAGACAGCTTTCCGACACGCCTCCAGGGGAAAGCCCATCTCAGCCAGCTGCATTACTGATGACTCCTCGATTTCAGGAACTGCGGCAGAGATAATAATAATAATAATAATCCTTGCATTTGATATAGCGCTTTTCACGTCGGGAGGACGTCCCAAAGCGCTTCACAGAACACACTGTAAAGTGAATTGACTGTATATTTGTGGGTGAACGCGGCAGCCAATTGCGCACAGCAATGTCCCACAAACAGTCGTAGATTGAAAATGACCAATTTATTATTGTTTTGGTTTTGGAGGATTATTATTAGGCTCTGTGTGGAGTAAGGAAACTTGCCCAAGGTTTGGCCCTGACCCCCCGGGGACTGAACTCAGGTCTCTCACTTGCAAAGCGAGTGCTCTAACCACTGAGCTACAGGACTCCAAAACACTGATACCAAAAAATGGGGGAACTTCTGCTCAGAGAGAGGGCACAGCACAAAGGCGTTTCACCCACAAAACACACTGTCACTCCACTTTACAGTATATTCTGTGAAGTGCTTTGAGACGCCTCTGTGACGTGATAAGGCGCTGTATCAAATGCCAGAGACCGAATGGCTGGATATTTGCAGAGATTTTGCCAGAGTCCAAATCATAACCAAAACACATTGTGATCCCAAACTATCTTGGCCAAGTTGCCACCGGCCAGTAACTTGTATGACCTGGCAAGCAGTTTGTGCCGGGGGGGGGGGGGGGGGGGGGGGGGTGGGGGGATGGGGGTCACTAGGGTTCACTCTCATCACACAGCTCCTGTCCTCAACAGCACAGGATTGCCATAACTATGTTGAGGAAGTGGGTAGAGGAAGATGTTCATCTAATCTTCCACTTCACGCTCATAAAGATAATATTCCAGTCATTCCCCTTTGTGGCTGAATCACCAAACATGGGAGGAAAATAATCCTTTACCATCTATCGTTTCAAACCCTTTCAAAATTTTCCAAAGCCTTTAAATACCTCAGTCTGTGCCGACAGATTTTCTCACTCTTCGCTGATCACAGTTTTAGTGCAAGAGAAACAGTATAAATAAACTGAGACGTTCACACATCCCTAAATACATAGAAACACACACGTGTGGGAATAGTGCAGTGTGCACAGAAAGCGCAAGTTGCTAGATAGGAAACTCTAGAGATCTGAGCTCCTGCATCTTTCACTTCAGGGTCTGCAATGGTTAAACATATCTTATAAAGACTTATTTTCACAAACCCAAGTCACTCATCCCAGAGCATTTTATCATGCAGCGTTCTCTGTCAACGATTCACAGCCCAAAGCCACGCATGTTCTTTATGGACACAGTATGCAATGGACAAAGGGACAGTTTCAAACACAGCCAATTCCTTCTCCAGCTGATGTTCCCAGCTCCACAACTGGTTGAGTTATTTGCATGGCCTGGGGTTTGGGTGTAGCTCATTGTGCAGAAGCTCCTGACAAGCAGAAATTGCTTTAAAGTAACTGTTAAAAAGTGCTCATCAACCATTTAGAAAAAGCAGAATAAACACAAATGTTTCACAAAGAAATACGTACACTCCATAAAATGGTTCAACGGGTGATCTGAAAGTTAAAAGCAAAGAATTAATCTTAATGGGACATCAGGGCAACAGAACTACATTTCACATTTAGCCTAACAAGATATATACATAAAGTCTGTTTACATATATAGGGGGACCTGCTTAAGCATGTTTCATTCAGAAGCAATAATGCACCAGACATACACATGTGGTACACATTCAGCTTCTGCTGGTGGTTGACCAGCTTCCTGTGTATAATGCACAGTGTGCAAGAAGTATTTGTGTTCACAACCCAAACCATCGGGTTATAACGGGTCGGCCTATAATGTGCGCTCCCGGAGGTTTATCACTCATCAGTGATGCAATTATCATCATCATCAAAAAAATAAAGACATTATCGGAGGAATAATACATTGCAATAAATCCCAAAATACAGTTAACTTGTTCATTAAAGACTGAAGTTTACGGCACGGTTACAAATACACAAAGCTGCGTTCAGTTATAAGGAAACGGAACTTTACCACAGATAAACATTTGTTTCACCAAAATAACAACAGAGCCACATTGAGAGTATTTAAAGAAGCAAAGAGCTGGGATTGGAGAACAGTCGTAGCTGTGCAACAGAAATATTAATGTGAATATCAATTCTTCTGTGTTTTCTCCCCAGCCACATGTGTGACTGAGGTTTGAGTGTCTGTGTGACCTGTGGTGCCTTGAAAGGGGAGGTCGCTCTCACTCCTCAGTTTCATTTCCTCAAGATGGCAGGAGGAAGAGTGACGTTATTTTGCTTCGCTCTTGCAGGAACTGTGTCAAACCCCACAGGGGAGTTTGGAACAAACTGTGGGTTTGCTGCAAGCAGCTTTGTGGCAAAGAAACACAAGCCTGACAAGCCAGCATGTACACAGCCGAGGCTGATCTTAGCACTCAGGCGAAAGTTCTCACCACTCTCTGTGCGATGAAATATCCCCTGACCTCACTTCTAACCACTTTAGCCCTAATCCCAAATCCCCTTCATTGTGGATCTTTCTATGGTACCTGCACTCATCCACATACATATATATATGCAAAATATTGTCAAAGGTGCAAGTAATTTTCTTTTTTAAGAATGAAACCAAATAAACTTTACATATATGTAAAGTTTATTTGTTTTAATTCTTAAAAAAGAAAATTACTTGCACCTTTGACAATATTTTGCACCCGACAAATGTCAGGAGGACATCTCATTAAAGCGTTTCACAGGATTTTATTGTAAAGTGCGGTGACTATATATAGGCAACTGAATAATAATAATAATAAGGTATGGGAATTAACTAGGATTTAAAAGCTTCACAACTGATGCTGCTGTTCTCGTTCTGAAAGTTCAAATACCAAGGGAAGCGTTTGCTACTTTATTATTTATCCACCTTTTCACATCCAGGTTCCCAAAATAGTTTCCTCTTAGAAAACCAAAAGCTTCCATTAGGATTTTTTTTTATTTCAGTCGGGGGTTGAACTCTGGTCAAACCTTTACATTTTAAGATTTTGTTTTGAAGCATTGCAAAAGGAAACGGAAATGTAATGGAAATGTAATGGATTACTAATAACAATTATAACAATAATCCTTGCATTTGATACAGCTCCTTATCACATTGTTGAGATGTCTTAAAGCGGTTCACAAAATATAAAGTAATAATAATAATCTTTGCATTTGATATAGCGCTTTTCATGTCTTCTCGATATCTCAAAGCGCTTCACAGAATAGACTGTAAAGTGAATTGTGGGCGAAATGCGGCAGCCAATTGCGCACAGCAATGTCCCACAAACAGTCATGGAGTGAAAATGGCCAATTTATTATTGTTTTGTTTTGGAGGGATTATTATTAAGCTTGTGGAGTAAGGAAACTTGCCCAAGGTTTTGCCCTGCCTGGAATTGAACTCACGTGTGTAAAGTAAATCTACTGTGTATTTTTGTGGTGAAACGCGGCAGCCAATTGCTCACAGAAGTGTTCCACATCCAGTCGTGGATTGAGTGATCAAATTATAATTATAAACAATTATTAGTCATTCCAACTCTGTACCTTTATCTACATTGATATTAATACTTACTGCACAAACAGAATTTTTTTAATTAAAAAAGGCAGAAATTAAATCTGAGCCTCACACTGTGTCCGTGTCTCTGGTTACCTTTGTGTCTATCTGGGAAGACGATGGGTGGAGTAATATCAGGCAGCTCCTCCTCTCCGGGCTGTAAACCCTTGGCTTTTAAAAAGGAGATGTCTAGTAGGTCAGGCATGTCTATGGAGACATCTGGAGAACAATGCAAGGAGTTAATACCCAGCTACAATTTCCCTTATAGTGTAATAGATGATTTGACTAAGCCACATTATTAACCTTTAGCCCCATGCAACTGAATGGTATATTAAGCCAATTCAGGAGTTGGACTCATAGTCTCGGCCTTACACTGTATCATTGTCTTACATCATATTATGATTCTTGCATTTGATATTGTGCCTTTAATAGTAAGATCTTGGTTTAACTTCTTATCCAAAGGCCGTTACCTCTAACCATACTACTCCCCCAGCACTACATTGGAGTGTTCGTCTCGACTTTAACTTCAAAGTACTGACACGGTTCTTAAACATAGACTGTATATTCAAACTGTCCATAGGTGTTAGATAAATTGACCTGAGGAAGTCTAAGATTTATAGCTTTGAAGATGAACCTTGATTTACACCTTCATATTGAAAACCTAGCATTTAAATTCATAGTTGACTTATCTCAGCCACCTGGGTATCTAATCACCACAGCTTCCCACTAGTTGGAATTGTGGAGATATCTGTCCCCAGATATTCCCCTTGTCCCACTTAATAATAATAATAATTCTTGCATTTGATACGGCGCCTTATCAAATCTTTACATCGTCTCAAAGCGATTCACAGAGTATACTGTAAAGTGTAGTAGCTGTATATTTTGTGGATGAAATGCCACAAATACCATGTGAACTGTTTTTTGTGGGAAGCCAATGGGAGAAAAAATCATGAACTAGAATCCAATCTCCAGAAGAGTATTGATCAGTATTGATATGGCATTGACCCTCACAGTGATCACAACTTCATTGCAACATCGTACGGTGTCATCTTGTTACCATATCAGGGGATAATTTGCATTTTCCACCTCATTGAACATTTCAACCAAAGTCCTAGAAACAAAAGGATAATATTCAAACCCAACTCGTGGCCCAAATTCCACCTGGTCTGTAAGATAATTTTGTCTTAAAATTCTCAAATGTAGTCCAAATTTAGAAGCTTTAATGACAACAAATCTCAAACAACATGAACAGCAAACAGCCATGAAGTACCTGGGGGATTGTTGGACAGGAAGGACACTGACAGAAACTTACCTAATTTCTTTGGCACCCAGTCCACACCAAAGGTAAATTTTTTGATTTGAATAACCAAGTATTCAGGAAATGAGGCAAAGTGGAACGTTCTGCAAATACAAAACACAAACTTCTTTCACTTTCAAAATTACCTCTTCTCAGCTCGTTGTATGTATTGAAGTCGCACATTTGACACAAATTCTCTTTTTAAAAAAATGATTTATCTTTGTTCAGATTTAGATGACTCTTTAAGGTTACTAACATGGTATCATTTGAGTCCTTCTAGTGCTTATAAACCAGCACTTTGTGTGCATTTAAACAATGCTGTGAAGTGCATTATACAGTAATGGAAATGTGCTTAATATATATCTGGCATTTAATGCAATGATGATTTATTGGAGCAATAAAGGTTAAATCAGAGAGGCTGAACTTTGAAAAATATGAGGATGAAAAATACAAGCATATGATATTTAGAACAGCTCAAATCGCATTTTGAACCCATCATTTTAATGCAGGAAATTAGATTTGAGGTTTTAACTTACCTGCAATAATTGACCAGGGCAGCATTATAAGTATAATGTTCGTTTTGAGAACTCTCATCCTTACTTTAAGATGTAGATGACCTGACAGGACTTTGTTTAAGGTCATTTTTCAATCTAGCTGTGAATCATGTTTCTGAAATCAGTTTTGAGATCAGCCCATGTAAGCAAAGCTAATACTCTCTGTTCCTTTATCTATGTCAAACACAGACCTTGTATCAGTCTGGGGGTAGGCAACAAGACTAAGAGATCATACCCTCAACAGCAAATCTATCGAGCAAATTATACCGCAACCAAAATAGAGGAAGGGAAACGGGTATTTGTGGAGGGAACCTGTTTTGCCTGATGAAAAACTGAAAAGATTGGATTACACTTTCACATGACTCCGATGATTTGGTTTCAGTAAGAATAAATGGCGTCATTTAGACTTGAAACTCCATACGTAGAAACAGTTAAATATATTAGTTACAGAATTACTGTTAAAAGTATGTTGCTTTAACAGTCTTAGTCTGTCAATGTTATTAGATTGGTTGTTATCTGTGAAACATAATACCTTGAACATGACTGCTTACTTACTCTCAGGCACATCTAAATTTAGAATGAAGCAGGAAAAATTGTCCTTAAAATAAAACAGTGATTTAAAACAGTGCAGTCCTGCATCTATCCTGCCGCTTACTGCTTTCTCTCTGCCTCGCTAGTGACCAGTGCTCTAGCCTAGGTACCAATTTATTGCTCTTTATTGGTTTGTGAACTCTCGAGTCAGTATGAGACATTAAAAAAAGAAGTCACGAATTTTAGCCAATTAAGTAACACAAATTCCAATTTCTCCAACTCCCCAAATCCTGCCTTTCAAACACAAAGTCACTGCTCCTGACTGGGATATAGTTCTGTACTTGAAAACTGTCCCGTTTACTATCAAATTAATTCTGTATTCACAAATACCATCTGACCATCTGACCGAGCTTTGGGCCTAAAAGCAAAATACTTGGTGAAAAAGTCTGGACCGACTAAAATGTTGACTCAGAAAGTAACTTTAAAAAAAAGTGTGAAATTGGATCAATTCAAGAGAGAATTAGTTAGCAATTTAGTGATGTAATCAATTGAGAGGTCCGAGAGAGAGAGAGAGAGAGAGAGTAATGCTTTTTTTGCACTGGGACTGGTCAGAAGGTCTTTTTCAGTCACATGCAATCGTGTTTCTGTGCATTAATCATTAGACAACAACTTGATTTATATAGCGCCCTTCACGCAGGGCAGCATCCCAGAGTGTTTAGCAATTTCCCACCAGCCTGGCCATGCAGCGCATGCTATTTAATTAACTCTTGTACCAAACCACTCGACAACCCACTCACTTGACTGCTGCTGATTTAGCTTGGAGTGCGCTGCTCCAGAATTCATTCACGTTTTCTGGTTCTGCGAAGGCCTGGAGACAGGCAGTGAATGGGATCCTGGCACGGACCGGCTCTGGCGGAGGCCGTTTGCTAATCTCAGCTTCTCTTCTCTTCGTCTCATATGCTATGAGTTCCTCTGTAGAATATTAGCATCATATTTTTTAAAAATCTTACACTTACTAAGTAATATATTGAAAATTGAATAATAATAATATTTGGTATAGCACTTTTCATGTTGAGAGGACGCATTAAAGCAGGATTTACCTTAAAGTTTAATGTTTGCTGGACTGAGTATTTTGCAGGTAAACACGGCAGCTAATTTGCGCCTAGCAATCTCCCACATACAGCCATGAAGTGAGTTTTATCTGGGGGATTATTGGACAGGACACTGTAAAGTCCATCTAATCAGGCAGATGGGACCTTGGTTTAACATCTCATTGGAAGTACAGCACTTCTGACAAAGCGATGGTTCCCAGCACTGTATTGGAGTGTCAAACTAGGAGATTGGATCAGGAACAAACCTTCAATCTAATCTACTACTGGTCACATCTTTTTTTAAATGGCTGAAAGGCATTTCTTACTTTTGATTTACTGTGGGGCTTTTTAAACCTGTTAAAGGCTTCACACAGCTGTAGACAGGTATTCGGTATGAGAACAAGGAGAGAAACAGGAACTGGAATTAGTCATTGGTGCTTTCCTCTTCTGTCCTTCTACCGTGTGTTGCTCACTGTCTTGATCTCTGAAGCAGCCATTTATCAATTTAGAGCTCTGAGGAATGTGTTGTCCCCATTCATTCAAACGAGCGATTTCCTCCTTGTCAAGCTGATGGATGTTGGTGGAGGCAGAGAGAGGGATAGAGAGATTCTAACCTTCATGTCGTCACTGTTTCTCACGATGCCCATCCAGTTAGTGGCAGGATTATCATCTACATATCCTTCGTGAATCTAGGTTACAGACACTGTATTGTTGCCCCCAACATTTACCCAGTCTCCGGCATATGAGGTACCACCTCATGTGTAACCACAACAATAACTTGCACACTTCATGCCGGGCGGTGTCTCGGAGCGCACAGTACCTTTGTTCGTAGCCGCCTGTAACACAATAGGGAGTTGCATCAGGTAATCGACCCTCTGGGTGTATTTGACTTTTCTGGACTGGCAACACTGGACACGTTCTTCAACCATAAAGCGAAACACGTCACTGGGATCATCTGAACCATTTCTGTTCCTCTGGGAGGCAGAGATATATATAAATAAATCATTTAAAAAGAGAGAGGTCGGAATTAAAAAGTGGGTCATCCAAGGGGTCAACCGAGCACACCAGCGAGCCAGCGAGTATCTCACTGTGAGACCCACACTTTGTTTTGTTGACACTAAACTTTTGATTCAGCTCTTAATTACTGTATCTAGGCGATAGCCTTTTAAGAGCCACATTTGTGATGGTATCTGATGGACCTTATCAGGATGATACAATACACATACTTCAATGGTATGAGCTCATGCTGAAGGTTCTGTGTTAAACACTGACAGCTTTGGGCTCCACAGTATCTGAGTCCCCCTCATTGGCTGGATTTGGTTCTGTTTAACGTTCTCTTCACATTTCCTCTTGTCCTGCACTTGAGCCTCTTAGAAACTAAATATAGTAACTGCAAACTCCCTATTCCAATGGCCTAAACGTACAGTGAACGGACATTCGTTTAGTAACTGAGGAAAAGCAAAAGGGCAACAATATCCACAAACTCACCTCGATCAGGTTCACTAAGTGCATAAAGAATTCCTGGGCATCCTGCTGCCGATGGGATGAGAATTCAGGATGTCCTTTCCCAGCCAAGGCCTTGAACATCCGGGGAACAATCCCCTGTAGCTGAGGCTGGAGATAGCAAAACACAATCAGGATACGGTGTCATTCCATCAGCAATTACATGGTCAGATTGTGAAACTACCCCACAAACCTGACCCATTACTCAATACCCTTGTTTTTATTAGGGTTTGGTAAAGAGTAATAACTGCCTCTGTGCTATCACTGTCTATATGGACAGTGTGTAAAAACTGATCCCTTTTCTTCTTTTTACAACCTTCCTGATATGTCTAGATCACCAAGGTTTAGCCTGGCAACACCATATCTGTCTTAAAACTTAAATTTGTACAGAATTGGGTGAAAAATTATGACATTCAGTCTCAATTTGGAAGCATTTCTTTTCAGAAACTGCAAGAGTCAAACACGCAACAAAAAGAGTTAAATTGATGAATTTTTCACGATTCTGCCTGATCTCAACATTTTAGAAGAAATTGGTGTTAACAGCCTGAGACTCGGTGAAATGACAGGCCTCAGATTGGCTGGTAAACATTCAAATACCTTGTAGGCTTCTTTCATCGGCTGCTCAATAATGTCATATTTCACTGGGGGTTTGGAGTAGTGACCTGAGAGAAGTCCGTGCCCTAGCTTAGTCCTGGACAACACAAAATTACAATACAAAATTATTTTTGTATAGCGCCTTTCACGTCGTGATGACATCCCAAGTTGCTGGACAATACAATGAGTGTTTTACTAAAGATCTGAACCATTAACAAGTAAATACCATGTCTGCAATTCGCTATGTTTTTGTTAAGTGCTAACTTCAAATTCTAAAACAACACAGGATAATACAAATACTTGTTATCGATTGATATGTAGCATTTATACACTGAAATCACTTCACTTCCTGCTCGTTGCAGGTGTATATTTTCATTTATTCTACATAAGTGACAAATTGTCCCACATACATTTATGATTGAAACAGTTTCTTTACAAAATCCAATACGTACATCTGCGTTTCAAAGTCTTGCGTTGGATCCAGTGGGGAATAGTCAAATATTCTTTGGAGGTTTCCAACATATCTGCAAAATGAAAGAATGGGATAAACTTTGTAAGACTTTCCAACTGCAGTTTTATAGTTTGGGATTGTGAATGTACCTTTAGAGAATCTCAGCTCTGATCTAGATTGGGTTAGTTTATCTCAATTGGCCTCAGCACATCTGACCTTATGAAGAGGGAAATCAGCCAAGGTTCCTGCTCCTGACTGACCGTCTGTGGGGCTAGAGCAGGGTTTGGTTAAGGCCTACATCCTGCCAACAACCATTGGTTGTGCTTTGACCTCAGGAAGATGTTGTTTAGACAGGATACCAGGGAGACATGTATAGCAAAGAAAGGCAAAGCATGTCTGGGACTGTACGCCTGCAGAAATCAACATGTTTAGGAGGAGGAGGTTACAGATTAACATTCTAAAATTAGACACATTGGCCTCACATTCAGATTGACCTCAATGGAAAATACTTTACACCAACACTCGCAAATAGTAGATGGAGATAAAGTATCTTCACTGAAATGGTGCTTTCGAGGCTGGTATCTATTAAATGGTATCAGCTACATGGTACAACAAGACCTAGTTACCAGGGACTGACTACAGTATACTGTACGTTTGCTGGGCTCTGTGACTCTGTACCATCATTAAACCCATGTGGTTTCTGTGTCTCAGACAATGTAAGAGACTATTTGCACAGATATTGGACATGATGCCACTGTTGTGAACACAAACACAGAGCGGTGTGGGAGCTTGATTCAGGTTTAGTCAATAATTAGACAATAATTACATTTAGCATTAATATGTAACTGACCTTCTCTGGAAGTCTGGGATGCTGAAGATGATTTGCATGACGGAGCTGAGATAGCAGCTGTTCCCGAGGTTCCTGATGCCTGTGTATCCTGGGCCATAGATTGGCTTCAACTTCATCTCGGACTCCTGGACCACCTGCCATTCACTGATCCGCTGCTTGATGTCACTGTCGAGCTTGACAGTTTCTGACTGCAGAATAAACAGAATAAATAAACCAACCATCACAGCTGTACATAATGGAAATCCACCAGAGATCGGGTCAGTTATGTTAAACCATCAGAGAACAACGGAGCTGATGCAGAAAGGGCTTTACAACGAATTGCATCATCCGTTCACGTCAGTTCTTACCAGTAATGAGAAGCAAAATTCAGCAAGTGTTGGATGGTTGAGTCACTAACAGGGATCTCATGAGGAATCACAATCCTCATTTGCAGAATGTAGTTGAATTTGGAATGGCTGCCCCCATGCTGGTAATGTATTCGAACAACAAGAGACATGGAGCAAAGGCTCCCCTAGATAATTATTTGGGGAGGACAAGTTTGCAGGGCTATGGGGAGAGCACGATGCTGAGCCGGGGGGAGAGGCGAGGTGACCCTGTCCACGGTCGAAGAGGAAGGTCTTCAGCGTGATCTGAAGATGGGGAATGAAGGGGCAAGAAAGCAAGAGACTAGAGCAGGGAAATGATCACTCGGCCACATCACTAATAGGGAGGATTAAAACACCTTGTTTGGTTTGTTGCACCTCTGGCATTCCATGCTACCCTTGTCATGTTAATGCTATACTGCACTAGGTTCCAGCAATAAAACCAGCAACTTTTCTCACTCTTCAGCAAACATCACTTTCTTATTTTGTTATTCTCCACTTTGTTACTACTAAACATCACAACAGCAACTTGTGTGCACGCAGCGTCCTTTATGTAGAATAAAATCTTGGAGTACTTTACATTGTCCAATCACAAACTTCCTTTGTCACCGTCAAAATAAAGTCAATCCACTTTACAGTATATCATGTAAGACTCTATATCAAATGCAAGGATTATTATTCATACCAATAAACAAGGAAAGACAAAACCCAATGCATTCATATTAGTACAAGGGTTTAACTTTTAAAAGGGAAATAGACAGAGGCTTGAAGCATATCATCAGAAACCTGAGACTGGGAATAAATTAGGCAATTCAGTCTCTCTAGCCTTTTCTGCTATCCTGTTAGATCATGGCTGATCTGTACCTCATCTCCATTTAACCGCCTTTGCTCCATGTCCTTTGATACCCTGACCTAACAAAAATCTATCGACATATACACATACTGTATACAATAAGACATTTGGCCCTTTGAGCAGACTTGAAGGGCTAAATGCCTGTTTCTGTACTGTAATATTCTAGAAATTCATGAACAAAATGATGGCCTTAAAAATGTTTCTCTTTCCATGCGTTTCACAATTTCCTACACACCGTCTGCATTCTCAGCATGTCGATACCAAAGTGCATCAAGTGCTCAGCAATACTGGGGTCCAGGACCACCTCCTCCTCCGCAAACGAGTACACATCTGCATTGTGTAAAGAGAGAGAGACACAGAGAGAGACACAGATAGAATGTGGGGACGAGGTAGTAGAGTGGATTTAAAGATATTTGTAATGTGCCGCTCAAAAAAACGAAAGTGCACTGTAGCCAAGATAACAATAGAATATGAAAATGTCTTGTTTCTCATCCCGATAGTCAATGTAAGTGTATTACAACAACAAGTGACATTTACACAGCGCCTTTAACATCGAGAGGACGTCCCAAGGCGCTGGACATTCAGGGATTGGGACCTGAGCTGGGGGTTGGGATCAGTCTCGGTGCTAATTCCATTTGGACTCCTGCATGTACCAGGAATCACAGTTGATCCATTCTCTCACAGTAGGACATGTCAGTGGGCAGCACATGTTCTCCTCATTGGGAGACCAGGGCTGTCTATCGCCTCAGCTTCTCCACCAGCACAAAGCCAGGAATGCTCCTGGAATGGAGTAGGTGGCAGGATGTGGAGCTCAAGCAGTGCAACTAGACAACATTGACTAATTTCTGTTTATCACTTTACAAAGGGATTGATGGGATTATTCATTGTAAAACAAGAATCGTCATTTCTAGTGATCAAATGCAAAATAAAATACCCCCCATTGACATAAGGAGTCTACTTTGGCCACAAGCCAACTTCACTGAATGCAAGTGGAGTTTCTGCATCAGTGTGAATTACATATTGACATGTGCAAGTTTCAAGATTCTGAGTTATTTCACGTGTGAGCTCTGAGGGGGAATCTAGGCACTCGCCAAAAGGATTAATACCTCCATCGTCAACAACTAACCTGCCCCGTCTGGGCTAATGGTGCCTAACTTCACAGCCAGAGGGTAGCTCGTCTCTCGGTAGTGTTCCAAGGCATGTCCGTTCCCACCGCTCCCATCGAAGAACCATTTCCCACACAATATGGAGCCGTCTGACAGGTTCAGCCACAGGTTCTCCCTGAGGTTGCACCTGGAACATTTCCAGCCACTGCAAGCCATCACAGCAAAGGTCAGGAAACAACGAAAAACAGAGACACATGCAACACTAAACATGGTCAGACTACTAAATTATACAACAACTGAACTTGATGATAACTCTACGCAAAATCTTTGAAACATCTTCAATAATCTGACTGTTGCCATATCTGTCTGGGAACGAGATTCACAAATCACATTGAAGCTCCCAGGGTTGATGATAATAATTAATAATGCATATTGTCTGAATCATGTTTATTCTGGTCATAAAGGAAAATGTATTCAGAATCTTAAGGATTTACTGTATCCAGTTGTCACTGAAATAAGCTTTTATAAAGCTAAAAACAAGTTAGGTTTGGTAAAGTGCCCAGTCAGAATTATAGAATTGCCAGTAATGCAAAGCAAAGATTTTACCCCAGATTTCTCTCTCTCTATATAAATATATAAATGTGTGTTTCGCCCACAAAATACACAGTCAATTCACTTTACAGTATATTTTCTTAAGTGCTTTAAGACGTCTCAACAACGTGATAAGGTGCTATATCAAATGCAAGGCTTATCATTAGTATTAGTATTATTTTTATTATTAGTGGTAGTATTAGTAGTATTATTGACTATGATTTTGTGTCCATGCAGTGATTGGCTGGACTGTGCGATATAGCTGCTGTTCTGGAGACTCTGACCTGGGTGGGATTCTGACACTATTGTTCAGTTGTTGGAGGCTGTTTGCGTGTTTCGAGTCTTTCAGCTCCTCTTCCCACAATTCCGGTTCCTGCCTCCTGTACGGGGATTTAGCTGTGAGGGCAGCGTCACAGGCTATCGTGACCTGGGGGTGGACAGAGACGCAGGGAAGAGACTTGTAAACACAATGCAATCCTCACACAGATTCCATTAAAACACTCAACATATATTCAAGAGTTACTTCTATCTGAGGCAGCCCAGTGATATAACCCTGCCACAAATGGCTGCCACGATTCACAGTCAATCCACTTTACAATGTCTTCCATTCATTTACTTCACCCTCCTAACACGTTATGTCAGAGACAAGCAAAGTAACTGCCAACCACACTCACTGACCAGTGCTGGCAACTCCTCTATGTTAGGCAAAGGAATCTCGTAGTGATCAGGAAATATGATGAGTTTAGCTTCATCTTCATATTCATAATCTTCATGGTTCATATCTTTGTTCTGTTCCAGATCTAAACGATCAACAGTGAGACACACAGCAGAGAAAAATCTGATAACAGAAGATATAATGGCAACCACTTAACAACAAACTCGACCCCATAAACTGCTCAGTACAGTAATTGTGCACCAAGCAAGTGGCCTATTCAGTTTGTAAAGAACACTCCCAAAGTCTATTACACCAAGTATAATACTTATGTTACTTGGGATTTGAGTCCATCCATTGAGACAGTAACACTAACCCACACTCTCGTTACAGCAAGAAGCTCTTTGCCTTTCAAATTTCACCAAGACAACGTGAAACTGAGTTCAATAAAAATCACTGCAAAAATAAGATTGAGGTCTTCAACGGATTTTATACAGGGGTCAAAAATGTGGTGTGTGATGTGATAATTAACACAGACAATGACAACGGGATAATCATCACAGGTGAAAATGATCACATCACACTTTGCATTTTTCTATTCCTGCTTTCCCTCCAATATTCCATGGTGGGTGGTAGCAATTTGAAGCGGGGAGGGGGTCATGGTCAGGAATAGCGGAATGACATCAAACTTTCCTGTGACAGCATCAGGAAATAAAAATGGAAGATGCAAAAAAAAAAGTATCGACGTCAGCAACGCATTTGGCGTAGTTAGTTTGACTGCTGGAAGTACCCGCAGTAACACACACTCCACCATCAACTATTCTGGTGCCAATTATTCCTGCCGTCAGTTAGTAACAGATCTAAATCTATACTGGAGTTACCCAGCTGCTTCTGCTGTCTCTTTATCTGTGCCAGCGATGGATAGGTTTACAGAGCAGGTTTGCAGAGCTTTGCTGCATTGCCACCAACCAGTTGCTGTTTTTTTGTCAGTCCCGACAACAAACTTTCACTGTCATAAGGTGACGTGTATAATGCTGCAGCAGATGGTAACCACACTAAATTAGCCCACTGACTGCACCTCAGAACAAGCCATCCCTTCCTAATGATAAGAGGAGGAGGGTTTGTGTTGCCAGCCCTGTGACATTCAGGTCATCATAACCAATAGGACACCAATAGGACACTTGCTACATGACAACATAGTGTTTTTGGGTGACTAGCAACTTCATGGGAGACCTGCAACCATAAAAGGGGAAGAAGATAAGACAGCGATGCATATACTAAGCAATTATTTCCAACGGTTGGTGAGTCAGTGGGTGGAGGGCATCGATTGAAGTCAGTCACCAATGGAGCAAAGGGACAGATTTGATGTCATCCGACTATCCCTGACTGTGAACCTCCCCCTCTCCACCTCTCGAATACTTCAAATTGCAGTGCCTTAATAACCTTTGTGTGCCTGTGTACGTGAGTGTGGTTGGGTCTGTGTGTGTGTGAGTCTGCGTGTGACTGTGAGCGTCTATTTGAGTGTGAGAAAACAAAATTCTCCTAACCTCTCCCTGTATTTGTTTGGGATAATGATGTTAATGATGATATACACTAAATGCTGTAATCACATTCCATTCAAACTTACCCAGAAACACCTTAGGTGATCTTCTCTTTGGCAGTGCCCCACCTGATGCTCCAGTGGGTTTCTGTCAATTCAGAAATTCAGTTAAAGAGGTAAGTCAGACATGATAGCAATCTTTCTTCTTTTCAATCTACAACATTACAGCTACTACAACAACAACAACTGCAGCAAAAAGTTATTTATTTGAAAGTTCTGGTTTTAATACCTGAAGAGGTAACTTATATGTCCAATGTATATTGAGTTTCAAATTCCAACTGATTCAGAATCCGCCACCTGTATAGTCACACACAATAAACTCCATACCCCATCACCCCAGCCCAGGCTACGCTAAGGCTACACTGGCACCCTATCACAGAACAGATCAAAACCTTCTTCTTTGGCTTACGTATGGTCACCTTCTCCCTCGCCCCTGCTCGACTTCAGTCTCCGCCACTGTTAAGTGCTTCAAGACGCTACCCAGCATGAAGGGCGCTGTATAAATGCTAGTTGTTGTTCTATTTTCTACTTATACTGTACAAACACTACAGTAACTTTACAGTAAATTCCGAGAAGATTTTCACATGATGTGAGAGATGCCACATCAATTGCATGGATTATTATAAACCTTGGGAAATGGGAGAAGTATTGTCAAGTACACAGCTGGAAATCCAACATGAGGGCCATCGACAGCACTTGGCAAGTACTTGTAAGTATCATATGTATTGACTTGTCACATGTTTCATGCACAACTGTTCATCCCCATCTTTTCCTATTGTAGGAAGTATGACAAGAAGTTTCAGGACTCTGCTGGACAGAGTTACACTTTTACCTGATTGGGAGGTGGGGGGGTTGGTGGGGGGCGGATGGGGAAATGAGACATGAAGATTCTCAAAGTGATTGAATGATATCCAGTGGAATCAATATCCACTTGCAAGGCAAAACATATTCAGGTATCACTCCATGTTGTACAGTATTAGTCCAGTTTGACAGAAAGTGAAGTGGCCAAAAGCAATATGGACCGGAGGCAGATTTCACTGGGGAGGAGGGAGCTAGCTTAAAAAGGGGTTGGGATTCTATCTTGAAATCCAATAGAAAGAGTGAAGAAAACTTAGCCTCTCTGGTTTCTCATGACAGGTAGCCACAGGTGTGGATTGGATAGCAAACCTGTATAGAACCCTAAGTTATCTAGCAAACTAAAGTATGTTGGTTGGAAGTACAGATCTAAAACAGTTAGTTGCTTGAATTGATCATTTCTGTCAAATACACTCAAGTGAGATAACACACTATCTAACCCACTACACAGAGGTGCACAAGTGACCGCAACAACACAGAAACACAGAGGAGCAAAGTGCTTTAACAGTTGCAACATGATGGACTAATTTCTTCTAAAAAAAAACACATACTAGAGTCTGATATATTTCAGAGTTTTTGCCAGCTAAGACCACTCTACCCATTAGGCCTTTGACTTGCTGGTTGAGGAGTCAAAACAAGTCGATTAACCATCCACGCCACCGTGGATTCACTGCAGTTCTCTCTAGTTTTTGCCAGGTGTCTCTCACTGGACAAAGGTCAAATTCTCATGAACGTTCTTCGTCTTTCCCAGAGTCAACCACCAATTAACAGGAGATGCATAAATGTTCCTACTCTACTGAGATAGTGTAGGTACTGTCAAGTAGCTTGGTGCTCTGAACAGATTACAGTAACTCTTTATTGTTCGCGTATCGTATCAATAAAATAACAATAAGATTGAAAAGTTCTAGTTCTTGCTTACAGGAACTCAGGACTTGCCAAGATCACAAATGCCTTTCAATTCACACCTCGAGAGTGACTGGCTGCACTTGAGAAAGAGTTCCGTATTCCCAGTGTCAGTCCAGTACCATTAATCTATTTTGACAATCTCTTGAGTCCAGGCTGCCTTTACGAATATTTACTGTATTACACTGCAAATGAAAAATAGGTAAACAAGAGGATGCCATGCCCAATTTACAGAGCAGTAAACTTGGACGTAAACCACTCAATGAAGGTTAGAGGGAAACAGACAAGACGTGTTTTATTTCAAAAGCTGTCCAATAAATTTGAAGCATGTCAAAGGGAGAATTAATATATTACAGGTTTGATTTGCCAATATCAAACCAAATTATGCAACCTAAATTGTCTGGGTCAAGAGAGAGATTAATGGTGATAGCTTATCTTGCACAATGTCCACGTTATTCATTTTGTATATAAATTGGGCAAAAGCCAAATCAGCGTTCTCAGTCCAACTGCTCTCAGTGACAGTGGACATGGGAAAGGTTTCATCTGAAGTAATTTTGAAAGTTACCAAATTCAGACTTAGCATATAGAATCATAGAATCTTACAGCACAGAAGGAGGCCATTTGTCCCATCATGACTGGAAAGCTCTTTGAAGAACTATCCAGCTAGTCCACTCGCCCGCTCTTACCCCATAGCCCTGCACATTTTTCCTTTTTATGCATCTATCCAATTCCCTTTTAAAAGCTATAATTTATATAATACAAACTATATTTTGCTATGAAACCCTACACTATCAAATAGTCATGACACTTTACAGAAAATCCTGTGAAGTGCTTTAAGGTCTCCTCCTGATGTGAAAGGCGCTACGTCAAAAAGAAGGATTTTCTTTTGAATCTATCATGAGAAAGGGAGTCTGAGACAGCAACTTTTCTTGCAATAAAAAAGTGAGGTCCAAGCCGAGGTGGGCTATGTGACGGAGTTGGAAAAAAGTGATACTGGTCAGGGAACAGATTGAAGAGTTTACAGAATATTAACAGCGTGTTAACTCATTGTGGTAAAGTAACTAATCCATCCTCCCAAAAATTACAGGATTGTTGTATTTGCCTGGAAAGTTTGAGCAGCCTAAGATCGTCCTAGAACAGCTTTGCACAAAACCTCAGCCAAATCCCCAACATACTGGCCAACACAGCAATCTGCATGTCACCAAAGCACCAACTTTTCAATGTATTTTTCACATGGTTATTTTATCAAAGCACTTTAAAAGTTGCTTGAACCCAACGATAAGGTGTCAGATCATTGGCAACTGATCACCATCACTGCTAAGCAATGTTTCACAATATTGCAGATATCTTTCTTACCACTTTTACAGTTCGTTTCAGATGCATGTAGACACATTGTCCCGTCTTCCGGTAATGTCTCTCTACGTGTTCTCTTCCAAACCCAAGAAATGTGCTCATACACACATACAGACCTCCTTCAGATTCCTGTAAATTAAACAAAATAGAAGAACTTGTTTAATCTGCTGAGAAAGAGACGAGAGGAAAAACTGAAGTCAAAAAACCCTCAGCAAGAGGATAGAGAATTTATAATAATAATCCTTGCATTTGATTTTGCGCCCTATCATGTCGTCGAGACATCTCAAAGCGCTTCACAGAGTATACTGTTTAGTGAAGTAACATTTTAACCAAAATTTAACATCATTTTGGTTAAAATGGACAATGCTATCAGGAGCAATTTCAGAATGTAAATGAGCCAGGAGATCTGGATTCAATTATTTTTTGTAGGCATCCATTACTGGGGGAAAAAAAATAAAAACAGATAAAGGAAAACATGTGCAACTTTGATTAATGTTATAATTAAACTAAGACTATTATTCACAGCCGCCACCAAAATAACATTCTAAGATAGACATGCACAATTTTCCGTGCTTATTATACATGTTGTATCCTTCCATATTAGTCAATGACTACTTTAATGATCACAGCACATGTAATAACCTGGTTTGCTTTTCAAGGAACCTTTGAGAGATGCAATATCAATGCAACAGTTTTGTTCTTAAAGTTAGCACGAACAGGTACTATGATTAAGGGGTGAAATCCTTCTCTCTCTGCATATATATTTTTAAAAAAACTGGTAGATTTTCCAGAATGTTCATATGAAATGTATCGCTGGTTGGAATGTGCCTCAGATGATCGGCCACAAGGTGGCTCGCATGGTAACTTGGATTCCCCGATTGCACAGAACGTGCGCAGTACAGAGCGGGACGGAAGGGAACACGCCATCTCACATTCAGAAGAAGGGCTCAGAAATGCCAGCATATCTGAGGACACTAGTGCTTCAGCTGTGCTCAGGAATTCTGGCCAGCACAAAAATAATCGAATGAAGCATCTGCTGGCTTGTTTCACCCACAAAATACACGTTCAATTCACTTAACAACATATTCTGTGAAGTGCTTAGTGTGACATTCCCATGGAACTATTTGAAAAGTTGAAGGAGTTTCTCTTTCCCAGTGTCCTGGGCAACAATCCCCCCAAATAAAATTGGTCACTCACTCCGCGACTGTTTGTGGGACACTGCTGTGTGCAATTAGCTACCGCTTTTCACCCACAAAATACACGTCACTTTACAGTATATTCTGTGAAGCGCTTTGAGACGTTTCGAAGACGTGATAAGGTGCTATATCAAATGCAAGGATTATATATCATTAGATGACCACTGTCCATAGCACACACACAAAAATATTAAAACTGAAACATCCTAGGCACTGGGCCGATTGCACAGTACTTATTGCATGGATGAACTGCAACATTTTCCTACCACAGTTCCCATTGTTTAACATGTCTCTCCTGGTGTGATTTGCTGCTACATGTTCTATTTGCTATGTTATTATAAGAGACATCTACTGCCTGGGAAAGGGAGAAAGACAATCTAGAAGCGCACACCAGGAAGAAGAGAATAGAAGGGCACGGGAGGGAATACAACAACAACAACAAGATTCCATTTATTGAGCGCCTTTCACGTCGGGAGGACGTCCCAAGGCGCTGTACAGTTGGGTCAGGACCCGAGCATTGGGGGGAAATGGTCAGGGGGAGGGAAGGGAGGGAGCGAGGAGAGGGTAGAGAGTCGACAGGGGAGCTGAAGGCACGGTCAAAGAGAAAGGTCTTGAGACCGGCCTTGAAGGAGGAGTGGGAGGAGGCGGCGAAGGCACTGGGGGATAGAGTTCCAGAGCCTCGGGGCTGAGAGGCTGAAGGCCACCGATAGTAGGGCGGTTGGGGCGGGGGATGTGGAGCAGACCAGAGCCAGAGGAACGGAGGGTACAAGCAGGTAGGTAGGGGGATAGTAGGTCAGAGAGGTAGGGGGGAGCGAGGCCGTGAATGGCCTTGTAGGTGAGGGTGAGGATCTTGAATTCGATCCTCTGGGGGATGGGGAGCCAGTGGAGGCGAGCGAGGGTGGGGGTGATGTGGTCGCGAAACCTGGTGTGGGACAGTACACGAGCTGCAGAGTTCTGAATGACCTGCAGCTTGTGGAGGGAGGGCCGGGAAGGCCGGCGAGGAGAGAGTTCCCATAGTAAATAGGAGTAAATGGAAACTCAAGGGGAGTATAAACCCTGTAAGGACTAGTTAAGAAGAAGAATCAGAATCCACACAGCGGTTTGGGACATCCTCCAGTTATACAAATGTAATTTGTTGTGGGTTTGTTACATTTCATATAGTGTCTTTCATGTTGTAAAGCACTTCACAGGATACACTGTGAAGTGGATTGAATGAATATTTTTGTGAGTGAAACTCAGCAGCCAGTTGCACACAGCAATGTTCAACAAACAGCCAATTTTATTTGGGGGACTGTTGGCCAGGACATCGGGAGACCAGGAAACTCCCTTCTCTTTTTGAATAGTGCCAGGGACCTTTAATATCCACCTGAACAAGCAGACAGAATCTCAGTTTAACAGGCCGGCACCTCCGACAATGCAACACCCCCCACCCAGTGCTGGATTGGAGAGTCATCTTAGACTGTGTGATTCCATGTCCCGATTGTAGGACTTGAACCATAAGCTTCTGATTTAGAGGTGAGAGCACGACCGTTGTCATTCAGTGACCACTGAGCCAGGCTGACACAAACTGTACAGTCAATAGACATCAAGAGCAATCACTGGAGCAAGTGCATCCACTGGTGTGTCTGGTGGAGTGAGGGGCTCAGGGTGAGACCACTTTGGTTTGTCTGTTTAACCCAAGTTTTCAAATCTCTTAATTATGATGTTTTATAATGGGTTTAACTGAAAACCAAGGAGCTCGTAATCTCCCGCCTGAATTAGGTGCCATCCTCTTGACATAAAATAAAATAAAACATGTAATTCATGGAATTCAAAAGGAAAAACAAAGGAGACCAAGTTGTAGATGGCTATTTACAACTGTAACTGAGAACCTGCTGTTCACATGATCACCACTGGATAAGTCCAACCCAAGTTCCACTTTCCTTGCAGTAAAACCAGGTCAGATTACGGCACTCCATGGATTTCTCTTTTAAATATAAAACCATTTAGGATTTCTTCCCAAAAAGCGATGGTTGGTTACAGCTAAACACCCTCTTTGATCCTGAACTGGGTTCTTGAAAAAACAGATCAGTGCAAGTCAACCCAGATATGAAGAGCTCAGACACCCGAGCCCTAAAGTGGCTATAAATAGCTTCTCAGGCAATGTTGATGAACACCAGACAGCTGAGTCATTTTTACTACTGTTACTTCAACTGCTCCTAAATATAAGACATTTACAATATCCACATGAAAGGCAAAGGACACAAAAAAACTCAAACATTGGATTTGTGTGTGAAACTTCCCCATTCACTCGATCTGGAAGTTTAAAAGTTTGGAAAAAAGTTAGATCTGGTCATTCACTTTCCAAAAAAAGTTCGAGGCATTGATTTCCCCCTTTTTTTTTGATTTTCTTGTTTTTCCAACAGTGAGTTTCGTGTCCTGTTAATTTATAATTTAAAAAAGAGCGTTTCTTTAGTTTTACACCTGCCCTTTTTTTAAAAAACCGCTATAATTTGAAGAGCAATTAGTCTAAATATAACCGAACACAACGAAGAGGAGAGAGGGAAGGAGACTGTGGCCATGAGTCCCAATGAAACCCACCAAACCACCTCTTCTCAGAGCAGTGACTTGTTCCTGACTAACTATTCACACACAAACCACATCCCGACTGGATACAGGGAACAATATGGGTTTATTCCAATCGCATTTCCCTGCACATGGTCTGTGTCCCCCCCCCACCCCTTGGCTTCCCCTCTCCTGACACAAATAAGAGTCACCAAAAAAAAGCAGCTCTGCGCTTTATATGAAGTCGCACCTATCTGTTCCCAACCTCTGCCTTGTTCTTCACCTTCTCCCCCTCCCCCACCTCTCCCCACCCCTCCCCACCTCTCCCCCTCCCTAACCTCTCCCCCTCCCCAACCTCTCCCCACCTCCCCCCCTCCCCAATCTCTCCCCCTCCCCAACCTCTCCCCACCTCCCCCCTCCCCAATCTCTCCCCCTCCCCAACCTCTCCCCCTCCCCAACCTCTCCCCACCTCCCCCCTCCCCAATCTCTCCCCCTCCCCAACCTCTCCCCACCTCTCCCCCTCCCCAACCTCTCCCCACCTCTCCCCCTCCCCAACCTCTCCCCCTCCTCTCCCCACCTCTCCCCCTCCCCACCTCTCCCCCTCCCCAAGAACCCCTCAGACCAGGGTACAGAGCCTGAGCTTGTGGCTGTGCACAGGTTCCCACAGAGCGGAGGCAGAGGGGGACCCAATCAGTTCACGTGCTAACAGTCAATGTGCCACTGATGGAGGACAGCAGCGAGGGGGGACCCCCCCCCGACCCCCACACCCCCAATAAGGGGCTCGAGCTGCCCTTTACTTACTGGAGAGTCAAAGGAGAAGGCGCACTCGCTCTTGTAGACCCTGTCCCCCGCTCTGGGCACTCTGATGGTTGGCATATAGGGCACCAACAGCTCTCCGATGTCTGCAGCCATATTGACATTCCTAACCCCGAGTCCTGCTCAGGGCTGACACTGATACTGAAGCCAAACTCTCTCTGTGTGTGTGTGTGTGTGTGTCTCACTGCTGGAGAGCAGAGCCTCCGGGGCGGCTCCAACACTTATTATAGCAGCTGAGCCCTCCCCCCCCGACACCCCCCGACCCCCGGGACAGCACAGGGACAGCACAGGGGGAGCACAGGGCGCGCGGTTCAAATCACCGACACTTCGAACTGGAAAGTGCATTAAATACCTCCATGTGGAAATGCAGCGGTATATGGAGTCGATTGTCGGATTGATTTCCCTTTACTAATAATATTAATAATACAGTAAATAAAAAATAAACATCACCGGTTAACACCCGGAATGACACCGGCTCTGAAAAAGGGATCCACCCGGTGGTTTATTTTGCTGCTGATTTCTCAGTAAGTATTTTGGAGTATTATCAGAGACAGTATTGTTTGTACTGACAAACTGTTCAACAGCAATGACCCAGAAGATAGTCAGCCAAGTCCGCAGCTCAGATTGCAACTAAAATGACTGATCTGCTAATTAGATCAGAAATGGGAATGGGGTTTAGTGATAAACAGCAGAAAATGCCATTGTAATAGACTGACATTTTGATGTTCACCCGTTTCATTGATGTGGCAGCAGTTTGGCTCCACAGTCAATGTCACTAATTGTAAACAGTAATTGTAAACAGTACAATTGTTCCAAAGCAGCAATACTTTGTGAATGTTCAGCTGACACTCTTCTGAGTGTAGTATTAAAGTACATAATGAATCCATTGTTGAATTTACTGAACTTCGGATTCATAAACAAATGAAATGTGGGACATAAAAACAAACCTGTTTATTTGGTCCTCAACAGGAGCAGTTGTTTTGTTCAGTCACTCCATTAATGGGAATGTTTGGTACCGTGTAGTAAAAGGCAATGTGAGTCACTGAGCTCCAGTGCCGACCATAGGCTTAACGTAAGATCAAGATTCAATAAAGGCGGTTGACTTCACGGTTCAGTCTCACAGGTAACGACATATAAAAAAAATTGTTGACGAATATATTCATGGACTGCCAACCAAGACTGTCAGAGTTTGATTTTAATCTGTTCGTCTCTGCTGAGTGGTATCTTCAAGTTGAGTTCCAGAGCAGTGTCAAAATTCCGCTGGTGCCCAGGACAGAAAGTTTAGACTTTCTATATAATAATAATAATCCTTGCATTGCGGAAACACATTGATACAAGGCTTCACAGACCGACTGAACAGAGAGCTTTCTCAGAAGACCCCTCCTGTAAGTGACACTTGTATACATTTCACCTCAGTAATAAATGCCAATTTACATTGTGTATAATGGATTGTTTTGAAAACTGAAAACTCATTTCATCTTTAAAAAAGAAAGCATCACATTCAGTACTCTAGCAATATACTTAAAATGTGACATTAGAAACTCCCAGACTAATTATATTTTGCTTAAAAAAATCAAGACTGCCTTATTAATACCTCTTTTCACTCCTCAAATTTGTTAAAGTGTCTTCCTATTTAATTTATTTGGGTGAATTTTTTTTTAAAAAAGTCAACAAGACGGACGCCATACTCTTTGGCTCACGTCGACGTCTTCTGTTCTGCGGTTCCAACCTCCTCAATTTACCCGATCTGATCTTAAAACTCTCTGAACCTGTGCACAACACAGGCATCAGGTTCAATCCCCAGTTATCCTTCCTCCCCCACATCCGGTCCCTGACCAGGACCGCTTTCCTCCATCACATTGCCCGTCTCCGACAATAACTCACTCCACAAGTTGCTGAAGCCCTTGTCCGTGTCTCCGTCTCCTCTCCTCCACTATTCACAAAATTGAACTAATCCAAAACTCCTCCACCCACATTCTCACCTGCACTAAACTCCGCCCCCCTCCACCGGTTCCTGTCAGAGCAGATCCACTTCAAGATCCTCACTTTAGTGTTTAAATCCCTCCGTGCCTTGATACCCCACCCCCCCACCACCTCTCCAACAACCTCTCCCCCCACAGCAGTACCCGCTGCCTCCGCTGTACTGGCTCTGGCCTCCTCCCTGTCCCTCGAATCCTCTTCTCTGCAATCGGCGGCTGTGCCTTCAGTCATTACGCCCGAAGCTATGGAACTTCCTCCCTCAACCCCTTGGCCTTGCCCCTTTTCCCCATTTTCAGACCTTCCTTTTTCGACCACACCTACCTTCCCCCTCCCCCTGGCTCGGGATCGACCACTGTTAAGCTCCGAGACGCCACCCGGCGTGGAGGCGCTATATAAGTGCAAGTTGTTGTTTGGATACGCTGTATTTCTAGTGGAATTGACTGGTTAACAGTTAGTGATTGGATGTTGATATATGCTCTTGTTTTACAGAGTATGCGCTTGAAGTTGATGGCCAATAACACCACAGTGGAGCGAAGGTTTAGCTCCTGGATTGGTGGCTCTATTTTAGCTTCTTTGGTGAGTAGGAAGTATTTATTTTTCCAACGGCCAATTAAACACTGGAACGGTGAGGCCAGGACACTGGGGCCCATGTTAAAAACACAGGAGGGCCTTCGTCATCAAACTTCTCGTGATGTTGTGAATTACTAACGGCATTCTCGATGCTTCTAATTGGTAAACCATGTAGTATAGTAATCTCTTGAGTTACCGCAACCAACTTGTAATTGCCACTGGTGTTATCCCTCCCATTGGTTGGCTGGAGTTTTACTGTACTTAGATTGCACTGCCATCCTGTGGCAGTGATTCTGTACTGAACATTTACTGCCATTTAGTGGTACTTCACCATGTGCTTATTTTGCGCTTGTGATGTGGGCTTCACTATTGAATAAGCTCCGTGACATCGAAAATAAATCTCTGATGGGTTTTGATTTAATAATTTACTAAAATGATTGCTTTGATTGAACAGGGAACATTCCAGCAGATGTGGATTTCTAAACAGGAATATGAAGAAGGAGGCAAACAGTGTGTTGAAAGAAAATGTCCTTAAAGCTCAGGCAAGCAACCAGTTTGTGAGGGCATCATGGCAGCCTGGCTTTTTGTCTCCATTAGATTTCTCAGGAACACTGTACTAAAACTTCCTGTATAAATTCTTTCACTGGTTTCTTTGTATAGTAACTAGATGCTAATGTACATTTCTGAAGATTTTTGTTTTGTTTTAAAAAAAAATCTCAAAAATAGTCCAAAAGATGCAATACTTTTAAAAGTGTTGAGGCTGTTTAAACAAGACTTAATACCAATCATGTCAAATCCCTGTGACTTAACGTCAAAATATTTCACATTGTAGTGATATTTTTGTAAGCACTGGTTGTTTTTGTACATGGAATAGATTAACCGTTTTAACTTCAGTAATTTGTGCCTTTTATTGGAATAAATTGAGAATATTCCTGAAGCAGTTCGCAGGCCAAACCTAACCACAGTACACCTTAACTACAGTCCTGCCTGTTACCCTTTGTTACAAATTTGCAACCATTTCCTGTGGGATAATTTGAAACGAGTTTGTAATTTATACACAGCTGATTTTAAAATTGAAAATAAACCATCTTTGGAAACTTTGTTTATGCATGAAAGTTTATTTTTACTTTGAGTCAGTTTCAGTACATCGGATTTAATTTTTTGCTGATTCAGATAATCGAGGGAATTTTTCTTCTTGTAACTTCTGTTTTTCTTGGGCTCTCTTTTTCTCTCTGTTCTTTTCACGCAAATCCTGCTCAAGTCGAAGCCTGGTACAAATAAAAGACATCATTACCCTTGTCTCCATCCTCTCAAGTTTCATGCTATGTTGCCTTAGTTACTGTTACCTGAACTATACTATGGTCAGCTTTTCTTTCATCTTTTGATGAAATTACAGATGTTTGTCACACCTTGGAGTGGTGGGTAGACTAGTGGCTGTAAACTAGTCTTTACTGTTAAACATAAAGCTGTTAAAGCCGACATTGATGGGACTGATCATGGCAATAACGAGCTTGTATCTTTGAAGGACATGATGATCCAAGATCACAAAGTGACCATCATTACTACAGTGGTCAATATTTCAGAAGTATGTCAAAGTAATAGCTGAAAGTAACCAAAGCCGTTTCTATTTGTGAATTGTTCTATCAACGACAAAATTACATTTGTATAGTGTGTTTCACGGCAGGAGGACGTCCCAAGGCGCTGGACGGTCAGTGTTTCGAACCCAAGCTGGGGATCGGGATTGGGGAGGGCATAGGGGCAAGGAGGGTGATCGAAGGCACGGTCGAAGAGGAGGGTCTTGAGATATGTCTTTACAAGTTAATAGATTAATCAAACAATGTGAATGGCATTTTACACAGTAATACAATTTATGATAAATTGTTAAAAATTGTCAATTTACCTTATAAAGTGATTCACAAATGTTGGGGTATAGTATCGCCTCTTTCTGTATTTCTTGTTTAGATACCATGGGATAGGCCATTGCGTATGTTTATGCCTAGAAAGAAGATAGTTAAGATTTAAAAGTGAAATGGGAAGCACCTTACCTCGAAGAGCAATGTGATAGAAGGCAACTTGTTTCTCACCAAAAGGTTTGTCCAAAGATGTTCTTTCTCCAAGAACCAGGTACACTCTGCTCCTGACCAGTCTGCAGCAACCTCAAAGCACCTTCACGTTCGTCAACAATCAAGTCGATTCTCGACATGGAACGTTCCACCTTTTTATAAAAATGAATGATGTCTAAATTCAAGCTAATCATGTTCTTGTATATGGAACCAAGTGAACAGGATTCGATAGTTTATAATACATAATGTTTGCACAACAGGAAATTAACCAGAAATGCAGAAGCATTATTTCATTTTAGTTGAAAGCTTAAATTGCACAAAATGATATCTTAAATAAATTGCATCACATGTGGTCAGTGCTTTGTAACCAGTACATCTAATAGCTGAAGGAACACCTATAAAACCCTGATCATTGCTTACTTTTTTTAAGCGCTCAAGACTTGGCATTTGTACTCGTTGTCTCTTTGATTCTTGTTCTGTCGTCAACAGCATGTTCTTTTCCTTTAAGAGGACATACCTGTACAAAGAACATATTTAATAAATGCATAGGTGTAAGACAACAGATGCCTAGAAAATTGTCTTTTACTGGTAGATGGGTTCACTAAAGCAAAGAGGATATTGGACACCAAAACAGACTGTCCCCAAGGAGAAAATGTCATCAAATGTTTGAGCGTGCAATCAGTGGAACAAACTTTACCAGAGCTTGTGTAAGTCTTCATTGCTTTTCAATCGCAGTTGTTCTCTACTCCAAGGAGCACCTAAAAAATGAATTCAGAAGGTACATTTAAATGTTACCCTCAAGTGCAAGATGACAGTAATGCTGTCCTTAAGATGAGATATTTAACCAAGGTCTTGTCTGCCGATTCAGGTGGACGTTAAAGATCCCATGGAAAGAGAAGGAAATTTATCCTGGTGACTTGGCCCAAAATCCCCCAGATAAAACTAGTCATTCATTTCATAGCTGTTTGTGAGATATTGGAATGGCAAATTGGCTGCCGTGTTCACCTACAAATATGGTCACCACACCAGAGAGTGAAATCTTGTGAAAATTGAGAAATCTTGATACGATGAGGCTCTATATCAAATGCAAGAATTAATATTATTATTATTCAGAATTTGGAAAGAAACCAGAGATAAGGACAATCGGTTCACATTGGCTTCATTACAATCTGTAAAAGCACTGACTATATAGAATTTGCTGAATGCAACTCACCAGACTTCACAGTTGATTCTCCCCAATTCTTTGGATCATCAAAGAACTCGTGGAGTGCTTTGTATGAATGAGAAGTGTGTAGAGCTCTGCACTGCGGTGTCTGAAGCGATTCCAGGACATTCTGCCGAAATGTGCGGAATTTTGTCCTTTTTAAAAAAAATAAGAAAATAAACAATTGAAGGAGTTGGGGGGTGTGGGGGGCAGTGGGTGGGGGGCAGTGTGTGTGTGGGGGGCAGTGTGTGGGGGGGGCAGTGTGTGGGGGGGGCAGTGTGTGTGGGGGGGGGCAGTGTGTGGGGGGGGGCAGTGTGGGGGGGGGCAGTGCGGGGGGGGGGGGGGGGGGGGGGTGGGGGGGGGGGGCAGTGCGTGTGGGGGGGGGCAGTGGTGGGGGGGCAGTGGGGGGGGGGGGGCAGTGTGTGGGGGGGCAGTGTGGGGGGGGCAGTGGGGGGGGTGGGGGGGGGCAGTGCGTGGGGGGGCAGTGTGGGGGGGGGCAGTGCGGGGGGGGGGGGCAGTGCGGGGGGGGGGGGGGGGGG